TTTTCTAAGAATTATTCATTTATTGGAAAGTCAGATATACAGAGAGGAGGAGAGACAGAGAGGAAGATCTTCCATCCCATGATTCACTCCCCAAGTGAGCGCAACGGCCGATGCTATGCCGATCCGAAGCTTGGGACCAGGAACTTCTTCCAGGTCTCCCACACGGGTTCAGGGTACACCCTCGACTGCTTTCCCTGGCCACAAGCAGGGAGCTGGATGGGAAGTGGGGCAGCCAGCGCCCATCTGGGATCCCGGCGCAGAACCTTCCTCTTTCTTATCACTTTCATGGCCATCACATTACTATGCACTGATAAAAGGGATACAAAAAGGTAATTAACACAGATCCACATGCTTCCATGTAGAGTGTTTTATCCAAAAAGCATTATTGCAGCACTAATGTTATATAGCTGCTAAAGCTGCTGCCTGCAGTGTCAGCATCACATATGGACACAATTCAAGTCCCCGGCTGTCCACTTCCATCCAGCTGCCTGCCAATGCCCTAGCACCTGGACCCCGACCACCCACGTGGGATGTCACCCCTGGCCATGGTGTCAGTTAGGAAATAAATCAGCAGATGAGTGTCAAACAAATAGACCTTAATGAAGCTTGTTAAAAAGCCATGTTTTTCTTGTTGCCCATTATGTTTCCATTGCTAGCATGGTGCTAAAATAACTGAATGAGTAAATACTAATTTTGTTATTCAAAGCAAAATGTAGGGTAGTAGATTAAAAGGATCCTTGAGATACAGACAAGGCAACTAATTTACAGATAGGGAAATGAATTATCAAATATTTTGGAGCAGCTATTATTTGTATGGCTAAAAAATAGAATTTTGAAGGGGCTGACATAATGGCATAGTAGGCTATTCTACCCTTAGTGTCGGCATCCTATATGGATACCAGTTTGTGCCCTGATTGCTCCACTTCTGATCCAACTCTGTGTGGCTTGGAAAAACAGTGGAGGATGGCTCAGGTATTTGGGTTCCTGTACCCAAGTGAGACCTAGATGATTTCTCTCTTGGCTTCCTGGTTCACATGGGTCCAGCTCTGGCTATGGCAGCTATCTGGGGAGTGAATCAGCAGATGGAAGATTCTCCCTCTCTCTCTCTCTCTCTCTCTCTTTTACTCCGTCCCCAATCCCTTTAATTCTTTCAAGTAAAATAAATAAGTCTCCCCCCCGCCTTTTTTAAAAATAGAAACTATAGAAGCAAACCGTGGGGTAGAGTGGGTTGGGCTGCCTGTGAATGAGGCCACTTGAACTAGGTCACTGAATTCAAAACTCCAATCACAGGGAAAATCACAGCACTTATAATCTGACCTGGAATGCTTATATTGAATAGCCAAGACTCAAACCAGTGCCTTCTAATCCAGTGCCCTGCCAATCATTTGTGAAACCAGCAGAAGAGGGCTCAAGTACTCAAGGCCCCTTGCCATCCACCAATGAAGCTTCTGGCTCTTGGCCCAGCCCATGCTGTTGTGGCCATTTGTGGGAGGAACCAGCGGATGGAAGCTCTTTCTCTGTTTCTCAATCACTCTGTAACTCTGACTTTCAAATAAATAAATAATCTTTAAAAATAATGTAATCCATGGTGGCATCATTTTACCCAAGAGACTTTTGTGTTTTCTTTTTGTCACCCATGCATTGGTTATTCAATGGCACATTTTTTTTTTCTATTCCAGGTGCTATAATTTCTGTTGTTGTTCTAATTCATACCATTTGTTGACCTTATTTCGTGGCTTCTTATTTATGGGAATGTGTAGTGATGGAGTAATAGAGACTACCATATTCAGATGTGGGGATACAATGTATAATGTATCCCTGTTTCCAATTAAAAAATGGACACCCAATGAAACTGTTGGAAATGTATAGACAATGGGATGCTGGATTGACACTGTCTGTACCAGCAATGTCAGGGCACACTGCTTAAATAACAGACTGATGGAATCATGATTCCTTATGAAGGACTATACTATTGTAGCAACGTGGGAAAAAATCTGTTGGAGGGTGGAATTCTGTGTGGGGGTATCGAAGTCTCTACAAAAGTAAAACATAAAATTCAAAAATTCAAAATAAAATTTAACAAAAAAATAATGCAATCCAAATTGTTTTAATGAGAAAAGTTTTACTCAAAGTCACACTTAGGTTTGGGAAATCCTGGACAGACAATCACTGGGATGCCTAAATCCCTCTCCTTTTCTACTCTAGAAAACTACCCTGATGGCACAACTGCAAACAAAATCAATGCAATCTCTTCTATCCATTTAAAAAATAAGTATGGATAACTATATAGGAAACAAAACAGTTTGGATATGAGAAACAAATCATTTCCACCTGAATGAACCAAAAAAAAAAAAAAATCTTACACTGTAACTGGTGCTATTATTTGATGTGTTGGCATTAAGTTAATAGAAAGGGCATTCCAGCAAAGAAAGTTCATGAGTCATGTTGCTGTTTGCACCTGGATGAGAATCCTGTTGCCTTGTAACAGAAGAGGGGCAAGAACTCATTACAGCATCTATCACCTGTATTCCAATATATATATTTATTTTTCTTATTGGAAAGGCTGATCAGGTTTCCGGAGAGACAGAGAGAAAGATATTCTGTTCGCTGGTTCACTCCCCAGGTGGTGTAATCACTGGAGCTGAACTGACCTGAAGCCAAGAGCCATGGAGACTAAATGGAGTAGGGACTAAATCAAAAGTAGAAGGAAAGTAAATTGAGGGTAAAGTTACATTCAAGAGGTCTGGTGTAATGGCTCAGTGGCTAAATTCTTGCTTTACAAACACCAGGATCCCATATGGGCACCGGTTCATGTCCTAGCTGCTCTACTTAGAATCCAGCTCCCTGCTTGTGGTCTGGGAACCTAGTAAAAGATAGCCCAAAAAGACCTGGGATCCTGCACCTGCTTCTTCCAGGAGCCGAACCAGGGGACAGATCTTTCTCTCTTTATCTCCTTCTCTCCGTAAATGTATCTTTCCAATAAAAATACACCGTTGGACCTGGCACGGCAGCCTAGCGGCTAAAGTCCTCACCTTGAACCCTGCTTGTGGCCTGGGACCCTGCACCCAGGTCGGAAATTCATAGGTGGCTCCTGATCAGCTCAGCTCCTCCCCTTTTGGCTACCTGGGGAGTGAATCATCGGATGGAAGATCTTCTTTGTCTCTCCTCTCTGTATACCTGCCTTTCATTAAAATAATAATAGTAATAAAGCTTTGAAAAGTTAAAATAAAAAATTAACCATGCACTTAAAAAATTAAAATAAATACTTTTTTTCATAAGAGGTTTAACTTTTCCTGCTGGAGGTAGCTGTTTCTGTAGGAGACACAATCCCACGTACTCGTACTGGGACACACATCCAAGGTAGTAATAAGGTTTTAAGCCAAAAAGGTAACATACACAGAGTAAAATTTTTTTCACATTTTATTATTATTGCTATCATTTTATGATACAGTTCCATATTCCCTTATCCCCTCCCTAATTCCCTCCCCTCACCACCTAGTTCCTCTATATCATTACTAACATATAGTTCTTCATGCTCAGTCATATGTCCATCATTGCGGGCATGGACAATGGCAGAGTCCAGCCATTGTAAGTCCATTTTTGTCTGGAAGCAGAAATGCATACCACACTGCATCCTCACATCTGGATGTTAGTCTCCATTTCACAGCTACTGTACATTCCCTTAAATGAAAAGTCATGATACAAAATCAACAATAGGAGGAAAAATAGAAATTTACAATGCCGTGGAGTTAAATGACATATTACTAGATAATACTTCAAGATGTTCTCTTGACAGAGAAGAAGAATAGCACCTACCAAAACCAAAGGCAAACGGGAAGAACATCCCAGTAAAATGACAACAGAATACTAAACCAATGAACAACCCATTCCTAAAATGACAGGATCAAAGTACCACCCATGCATATTTAACACTGAATGTAAACGGCTTAAGCTCAATCAAACACCATAGATTAGTAGACTGGATTTAAAAACAAAACCCATCTGTTTATTGTCTGTAGGAGACACACTTCAACAAAGATCAGCAGAAACTATATCGCATGGGTTTTGTTGTTTTCTGTTGGTTTCATCTCTTCAAAACACTTTCTTCTTATTAAATCGTTCAATGACTCGTAGATCATGCTGTGGCATCATTTTCTTCAAGAAGGTTCTTGATTTTCATTTCTTCAGCTACACGTTAGTCATTTAATAGCATGTTGTTTAACTTCTTGGTGTTGTTAATTTCTTTTTTCTCCCGGATGTTGAGTTTGTTTTGTGGCTCTTCATTTAAGGGGATGTATAGTAGCTGTGTAATGGAGACTGTCATATCTAGTAACATGTCATTTAACTCCATGGGATTGTAAATTTCTATTTTCCTCCTATTGAGTAAAATTTTAACAAGGAAGATCAGGCTAGGCCACGTGAGCATTACGGGGTGAAAAAGCGATTCCCCCCCAAAGTCACGGGGACCCATGCTGGGCAACAAAGCTCGGAGCGCTGAGTGGAAAAGGGCAGCACGTGGCTCCCAACGCGGAAAGGTAAGCATTGCATATTGAGTCAGGACTCCCGCAGGCAAAGCCAGTCGGTCGGCGGAGCCGGGAGGTCAGCGGAGCCGGGCGGTCGGCGGAGCCGGGAAGGTGGCACGCGGGGCCCGGACTCTCCCGCCCTCCACTCCTGACGCCACCGCGGGCGCGCGGCCCGCCGACCCGACGCGCAAGGCGCTGTGGGGCTCGTAGTCTTCCTCTTCCCTGAGTCGCTTAGGGGCGGGGAGAACCTATGTCATGTCAACAGTCAGCTCTTCCCGACACGGATTCCCCGTCTCAGGCGCCTTCCCTGCCCGCCCCCCGCCACGCCCGCCTTTGAAACTTCCCGCGGAGTCGGAGGCGTCCTGGGCCTGAACGCTCGCGCGAAGCCTCGCGAGAACCGCCGCCTCTTTCTCCTCCTCCGTCCCGGCCCTCCGTTTCCGGGGCCTGCGCTGTGGGGCCGGGTCTGATCGGCCCCGGGTAGAGAGAGCGGAGCGACGCCGGACGCTGTCCGGGAAGAGCCGAGGGGGCGGGCAGCACGCAGCGCCTTGGCGAGAGCGAGCGCCCGCGGTTCAGCCGTGGGCACGGTGGTGCCAGGAGGCCGGCGGGGCGGAGGCGCGCGCACAGCCCGGGGCGGCCGTGTCTCCCGGGAGATGCTGTGACGGTCCGCGCGGGAGGAGCCCCCGGCCGAGCCTGCCGCACCCCTCCTGAATCCCAGCGGCCGCGGCGATTCGTCCCTCGCCCTGCTCAGGTAAGGGGCGCCGCGAGGAAGGAAGGAAGGAAGGGGTTTGCGTTCTCCGCGCGCGCAGCCCGGCTGCTCCCGCCAACCGCGCGCGCGGCTTCGCGCGGGGCCTAGGCCGGGCGGATGGCCGCCCCAGGCTCCGGCTCCGGCGGCGGCGGTCCGGCTCGCGGTCCCGGCCCGGGCTCGAGGGGGCGGTCGCGAACGGCTGCCGTTAGAGTCCGTCCTAAGCTGCGCGAGCCAGTTGCTATATAACCCCCTGCGCGACGGGGCACGCCACGGCAGAACGACGACGGCGGCACATGGAGGCGGCCTTGCGCTGCGGGTTCTCCGCACCTCGGGGCCCCTCCGGCCGCAGTGGTTCTTCGCTGGTGTTGTACTCCGGTGCAGCTAGAAGCCGGGCAGACTCTGCTCGGAGCGATGTGGCCGACGCGCTGGCTCGGCCTTTGGCGACTTTGTTCTCCGCATGCTCTTGGGCCTGGCCCTGGTGAGTCCACAGCCGTCGCGGGATGGGACTCGGGGTTCTAGGAACGTGCGGACTCCTTGGGGGAGAACTGAGACCTACCCAGGAGGTTCCCAGTTGGGCCGTCGCCTCCGCCGGGCTGTTTGCTGGAGAGGCAAATTGTGCTCCCACTCCCAGGTGTTAAGAACCTGGGTTATTTAAAGCACAGGCTAGGATGGGTTTTTGGTGGGGCGGGGAGGGGGACTCAGAATTTCAGTTGATTCTCCGAGCCTGGGGATTCTGTTCTAAGAACTGCCTCTTGTGCGAGGAGACAAGTTAGGGTACGTTTACTGGTTTCGAAGGCTGTTAACGGGCAGTGACAAGCCCAGTTGGCGCTAATCCTCGGGGGCTGCTCTAAATGTGCGAAGTGCTGTGGGAAGGCTACATTGTCTGTGTATTGTGAGTGTTTTGAGGCTCATATAAAATATACCAGAGGATCAACGATTTGCAAAAGCTGTAACTGTCCTTGGCTAGTTGTGTTTTGTTTTGTTAGACGGCAGTCTGGGGATTAGACAACAAGGAAAGAGGGAATAAAACAGGCTTTTGTTGTTATGAATCATTTCAAGGGTTCCTCACCCCTCTTTTAGGAGTTCCGAGGGTGTCCACAGCGTGTGTTATCTAGGCTCCTGGGTTGACAGTTGCAGGGTCAACTGCCAGCGTCGGCCCCGGTTCTGTTACCACTTGGGTGTCTGGTGTGTTGGGCTCCTTCCACTGGGAGGACCGGCATGGCGTTTTCCCATAGGTTTACGCTTTGAATCTTCCTGGATGCTGTCTTTCCTCTGCACTCTTTGGTTTCCTTTTATTCCACATGTTTGTATGGATCTCACAGAATGAATCATGTAACGCTACTATTGTACCTGATATTTTGATGGTTGGTTTTGTATCTGGCTATTCTGCCCTTGCATTCCCTTCCCAATATGTTCTAAGTGTAATTGGTGATGAACACGTTTGAAGTTTGGAGAAGTTACTGTTTAAACTGCCGGATATTTCCATTGGCACTTTATATTTTGAATCTCCATTCATCATAGTCATAAAAAGTAATGTTGCATACAGTGTTTTGTAAAAGTGTTTGCCATATAATAATTGGACAACTAGAATTCTGATCTCGGTGCTAGGATTTCAGTACTTGGGGAGGTTTTTGTGAGTGTGCCTTTGGATGGCAGTTAAGATGCTGGTTAAAACACGATGGGGTTGGAGCAGTGGCTCAGTTGGCTAAACCTCCTGCTCTCCATCTTGAGAGACCTTGGAGATGGTTCAACCAGTTGGGTGTCTGCCAGGGATGTGAGGAACCCAGGTTGGGTTTCCCCCACCCCAAACCTGGCAGTTAGGGGCAATTGGTTAGTGATGGGAATTTCCTTTTATCTATCAGCCTCTTAAATAGGTAATTAGTAAATAGGTAATATTAAAAATTTCGATTAAAAATACTAATTCGTGGCATTGTGTTTACTATCCTGGTAACTTATTTTGTCTTGCTTCTTCATATTCTTAATATATAGAAAACAACAGCAAATGTTTAATGCATATTAAATAAGGCCCAGTATTCAGTTTTTAAAAATAGTTTAAAGACCTTTTAAATTAAAGAATCAGTTTCCTTTAATGTCCCAACAGCCAGAGTGAGGCCAGACAGAATGCAGGAAAAGACCTCTGTCAGGTCTCCGGTAAGGTTGGCAGACACCTAGGTAGTTGATGCATTGTTTGCATTCTCCCAGGGTGCTTTACTAGGCCACAGGAAGCCATCCCTGGACTTGAACCAGGCACTCCCTTGTACTAAGAGGCATCTTTACTGTATCAGTACAGTGCTTTTTAATATCAGTAAAGCCTTTTTTTCCCTTTAGTCCTGCCTTATTTTAAGCTCTTTTTTTTTGCTCGTTAGGTTAAACTTGTTCTTTTTCTAGTGTTCTAAAATGGAAGATTCGGTACTGATAGGTCTTTTTAGGTGTTCAGTGGTAACAAATTTCTTTAACCACCGCTTTAGCTGCATCCCACAATTTTTTTGTGTAGTTGAAAGTTTCCTTTTAAAAACACTGGTTTTTAGAAAAAATTGATTTAATAAAACTGAAATTGAAAGGAAATTTATTTTTACAGAATAATTATGTCTTTTACATTAAGAAAAACATAGAGGATTAGCTGTTTTTCCTGTTTTATGACGGATTTTACTTTGATAGTATCAATTTTTCTTGTGAAAGTGGGTTAGCTTCTTGAGAGAAGGGTTGAGAAAAGTAAGATGACTTTGTACAGGGAATCTCCTTTTCAGGGTTAAACTCTGTTCTGGGACTGTGAAGCCTTCTAAAACAGGACAGTACCCTGAGACACGGTCCCATTGTGTGACACGTGAGGACGAACTTCCAGGGGTAGTTTTCCTAGATGGGTTATTCCCTGCTTCGGTTTACATCTGTCCACACTGAGGGGGGAGATATGTGTGTCTGTATTCATGCATGTGATTTTATTCAGTTGCTAGATACTAGGGGAAGAATGTGTGCTGTGTGTGGTAATAATTGTAAATAACCTGTACTTAACTAGTGTATAACTTGTTAATGGCAAATAAGTGGTAAACTGTGTCAGTAACTTATTGATCAGGCCAAACACATCTTCTGATTTGAAATACCAAAACATAATTTTTGCGACTCTGTTTTAGGTTTTATTGATCTAGTTGTTATTACTAGCCTATATCACATTGTTTGAATTATAACAATTATAATTGGTTTACTCTCTGACAAAGTTCTCATTGTTTGCTTCTAGTATTTGCTATTAAAAATACTATTAATAAAATACATTCTTTTATATATTTCTTCCTGGTTTTACTTATAATATGGATATGTAATAAAATTTAAAATACACCACTGTATGTTTTTTAAGATCTGCTTTATTTATTTAATTTTTAATTTTAGGAGTTACTTTAAAATTTACCTGACCTTTTACTTTGCGATTTAGTTTCTTGTTTCTAAGCTAAAGCTTTGATTTCTGCAAATATATTAATATTTGTTTTCTCTGGCAGTTTTAAGGTTTTTTGTAGCCCAATTCTCTGATATGCTTGTGTCTTTTGAATGTGAGTTCATTTTCTTTAGAATTTCATCTGAGAATTCAGATTCCAGAGGATGTCTGGTTGTCTCTTTGGGCTACTTAGAGCAGTAGTAACCTCAAGACACTATTTCCCCTGAGGATTTTCAGGTAACAGGTTGAGTTCTGACCACAGCTCTCTGTGAAGGGAAGTCTTCTGAGACTTGGAGCTGTGATTTAGTTTTAATGCTCCCCGTCCTACTCAGTGCGTGTTTCTCATTTACCTTTAGACCGACAACACATAGCTCAGTGAAATTACTTGGGAATAAAGGGAGCCTCTTAGCTCTGGTTAGCTCTGTTTGGAGCCTGGTCTTTATCTTTTGTCTGAAAACATGAATGTCGTTCGCTAGCATTAGCTTTGGTGGCTAACTCTTTAAAGTCAGTTTTATATTTTTCTATTCCGAGTATAGAACATATACTAAACTCAGTTTCTGAGGATTTTTTTTTCATGGAATCTAGTTTTTTTGGTTGGTTGGTTTTTACTGAAAAATTAATTTTTCTACAACAGATGCATGTTTCCCTTGTTTTTGATGTTCTTTGGAAGTAGGTTAGGTAGAACAGGGAATAAATTGAACCAGATGTCAGAAAACTCTAGGGAATAATATATATCCTTAAGGTCTGGTTTAATGAACTTTTCCTAAGCTATTTGAAAAATATTTTCTGAAGTTGAAAATATGTTTTCTTAGGGAAGACCTCTGGCTCAGATAGAGAAATATTAGATATTTTATAACCAGATTACAGTGTTAACTTACTTTCATGTGGTGATTTTGTTGTTTTTTTCTGGCTGAAGATAGCTAAGTGTATCAAATAGTTACATACATATATATCAGTATATATATAGATATATCATAATGTTATCTTTTTAAAAATATTTACAGTGGAAGTATGCGAGACTTAGCAGCTCAGGTGACCAGTGGTCTCCTGCAGTTTCCAGAAGTGACGATCCAAGCTCTTGGAGAAAATGAAATAACATTAGAATCTGTGCTTCATGGAAAGTTTGCTGCAGGTAAAATGATTTTGCCAGGGTTTACTAATTTGATTGACTTGTAAGATAAGTAATGAGTGCATATTGTAGTTTCTTTGGTATGGAAGAATGAAAGCAGAACCTGGGTAGAGAATCCTTATGTAAGTGTGTATGTAGTAACAGTGACAACTGCATCTTTGTAACATCCAAATACCTGGGTACTCTATTGATGGATTTCTAGTTAAGGGGTTAGAATTAATTTTTCTCTGTTAAAAATCCCTTTTTTTTTTAAGATTTATTTTTTTTTTTATTGGAAAGTCAGATATATGTAGAAGAGGAAGATCTTCCATCCAGTGATTCACTCCCCAGGTGGCCGCAACTGTCAAAGCTGAGCCGATCCAAAGCCAGGAGCCAGTATCTTCCTGGTCTCCCATGTGGGTGCAGGGTCACTAGGCTTTGGACTGCCCTCTGCTGCTTTTCCAGGCCACAAGCAGGGAGCTGGATTGGAAAAAGGGTTGTCGGAATTAGACCTGACTCCCATCTGGGATGCCAGTGCTTGCAAGGTGAAGACTTTAACCACTAGGCTACTGCGCTGTGGCCCCCAAATCCTTTGTGTTTACAAGTGTCTTATAGCATTTGGTATCTGCATTTGGAAAGTAGAGTAATACACAACTGATTGCTTATAATCAGTAAATTTTATTGGTAGTGAATTTGGATTAGATTGTAAATGCTCTTTATGAATAGGTCCCTGGATGAAAAAGTTTCAGAAAGTATTTTCTGTTTTCAAAAATATAATATATTGATACGTACTTTATTATGTAAGATAATTTAAAACCTTTTAGTTAACTTTCAGTACTTAAGGCATTTTTATGTGCTGCAGTGCAACATTTCAGCACATCAGAGGAATTCATTCGCATTAGGCAGTTAGCCTTTCCATTTCCTGTGTGTTTGGAGTCAGTCAGCTCCTGGCTTCTAGTTCTTTATACAGTATATAATACAGTATTGTGAACTATAGTCATCCCAGTGTACTGTGCAACACTAGAACTTTTACTTCTGACTGTATTTCGGTAACAGTATGTAGTTTAGAATGTGTAATGTAACAGAGAACCATACCAAAGAGGTCGTTATTTATCCTAATGAGATATTAGAGAAAACTTCTGGAAAAAGGTGTTACAGACTTTTTCATTCCAGTAGATAGGCAGAAGATCACTGGACGTTTAATACAGTTCATTCTCTTGAATATTTGAATATTAAAAATAGTTAAAGTTCTTGCTCTATTTTGGAATAGTAGACAAAGCTTTATGTAGTGAACTGTATATGATATGTTAATAAAAGCTATCTGATATTTAATTTTTATTTATGTATAATATTAAAGTAAACCATATTTCTGTTTTCCACCATCCAGTGAAAAATGGACTTGCTTGCTTGGCTTGTGGTCCACAGCTAGAGGTAGTAAACTCTTCAACAGGAGAACGCTTATCTGCGTACAGATTCAGTGGAGTAAATGAACAGCCTCCTGTGATCTTGGCAGTGAAGGAATTCACCTGGCAGAAGAGAACCGGCCTGTTAATAGGCTTGGAAGAAGCAGAGGGAAGTGTCCTCTGTCTTTACGACCTCAGTATATCAAGAATAGTTAAAGCAGTTGTTCTTCCTGGAAGGGTATGTACTGTTGAATGCATTTGGACATTCTGTTCAAAACTAAGCAGTTACTGGTTGCATGAGTGTAGTTACTTTGAAAATTCATTGAATAGTACTTTATAGCTCTTATATGTACTCTTTTAGGCAAATTTGTTATCCTTTAAGAAGTTTTTAAAGTTAAAGCTTGTATGATAAAGAATTTAACATTTAAACTGTGACTTTCTTAAGTAATAATAGTGGATGACATCTAATGTTCTAATGTTCTTTTATGTGAAAAGTTATTACTTGAGTTTATGTTTCATGGAGATAATCAAGATTTGTAAAGATACCTATATTACTATGGCTTCTTAAAAAATTGGTTTTCTTTTTTAAGATTATAGACTGAACAATATGGAGAACATATCATTACCATTAAGATTTTAATGTTTGTAAATAATGAGTTAATTGTTAATTATTCTAAAATATCTGTTTTCATGTGTAAGACACCTTATCCAATTAATTAATCATAGAAATATTCTGAATACTAGGCTTCTTCAGGCATATTTTCCATACATGGGGAAAATAAAGTATATACTTACACATGAATATACATCCAAGGTCATGGAAGAGTTGAATTCTTTGTATATATCATGTAAGAATGCATAATTGGGCTGATGATGTGGCATAATGAATTAAGCCATGACCTGCAAAACTAACATTCCTTTACGTAAGCTGTTTGAAGATCCGATCTAGCGTGCCTGGGAAAGCATTGGAAGATGGCCCAAATACTTGGGTCCCTGCAACCCACCTGGGAGACCCAGGCTCTCCTGGCTTTGGCCTGGTCCAGTGCTGATTGTTGCAGCTATGTGGGGAGTGAACTAGTGGGGAGTTCAAGTCTCTCTCTTGGACCCTCTGTGTCCCTATTATTCCCTCTCTGTAACTGTGTCTCAAGTAAATGAAATAATTTTTTCTTTTTAAAGTTGATGTACACAAAGATTATACAAGGGAATGTGAAAAAAAATGTGTAGCGAAACACTTTTGTAAGTGATAATACTGGCATTTGGTCCTAAGAGTTGAGGGGGAAGCAAATATCTGGCCTCGCAGTAAAGACTCTAAACACCCTATGTCTTGTTTTAGTACATGGCTCTTGCTTCTGTTTTCAAACTCTGCTAAGCGTGGACCATGGGGGCAGTGGTAATGGCTCAAGGAATAGGGTTCCTGCCATGCTTTGGGAGACCTGGATCAATTCCCAGAACTTAGTCCAGTTGGCAGATGGATACGGAGTATACCAGATGAGAGGAGTGTTCTCTTGGTCTGGCTCTCTCACCTGTTACATAAATGAGAGAGTAAAGAACTAAGCATCCTGAGTCATTGTTTTAAATATATACTGAAGAAAAATGGATGTTCTTTTAAAAATTTTGAAGATTTTGAGATAGAAAGAAGGCATAGGGAACCAAATCAAGACTGTATATGGGCTGCTTAATTTCCTGTCAAGGCTCAGGAGATTACTTTTTTTGAGAGAAATGCAACAGCGTTTTCATGGATTTAAAGGACTTCTGCAAAGCTTTCCTTGGTTTCTGCTTAAGCTTTGACCAGCTTTCTCAAAATGCCTTAAAGTTTCCTTTGAAAACTTTGTTTTTTGTCTGCAACTGACCTGACTGCCAAGGTTTTGAGCAGAAAGCTTGCCCTACTATAATTTCTTCTTAAAATGAAGTGTATTATTATTATTATTATTATTTAGAAGGCAGCCTTACAAGGATAAGGAGAGAAAAAAAGAGAGAGGGAAAAGTCTTTCATCCTTTGGTTCACTTCCCACATGGCCTTAGTGGCTGGAGCAGAGCCAATCCAAAGCCAAAAGCCTGGAGTTTGTTTTCAGATCTCCAACATGGTTGTATGGGCCTGAGGATTTGAGCTGTCCTCCACTGCTTTCCCAGGTTGTAAGCAAGGAGCTGTATCAGAAGTGGAACAGCTGGGACATAGACTCATGCTCAGATGCGATATCAGTGCTGTAGAGGATTAGATGCCTCTGTGCCAGATCCATGTTTATTTTTGGTGGGTTTTTTTCTTACTCTTAAACTTTTTTGTCTGGAATAGTATTTACTTTTAAGAGACAAGAGGCTGTATAATTGACATTTGTGGTTAAGAACTTAAAGTGAGAACAATTGAATTTTACAGTTAGTGATTTTATGATCTGAGTAACTTCTTTTATGCCTGGGACTGTTTTATCTCTCAGCAGATAATCACACATAGCCCAAAGTGAAAGGATTATCATGAGCTTTAGATAAGCCACTTTAATGATAAGCTCTCAGTAAACATGAATTATTATTCCAGCTATGTTTTTTTAAATGCATAGTTCATAATGTCTCAAGTTTCAGTATATTTAAAATTCTCATTCATTGAATACCAATTTATGATTCTCTATTTAACCATTTAAATTTGTTATAACCAGTGATTTGCTTTAATGCAAGTTATTATTACTGTGCTGTTAGGAGTTTTTTCTTCACTTTATAGAAGAAAAGCCAATTGTAGATTTTGCTTTTTAGGTAACAGCTATTGAGCCTATAATCAATCATGGAGGGGCAAGTGCCAGCACTCAGCATTTACACCCGAGTCTACGGTGGCTTTTTGGTGTGGCAGCTGTGGTAACTGATGTTGGACAGGTCCTTCTTATTGATCTGTGTTTGGATGACTTGTCATGCAGTCAGAATGAAGTGGAGGCATCAGGTAATTGGTCATACTTCACATGAAATAAAGCATCTGAATGTTCGGATGCAATGAATTGGTTTTTTAAAGTAGTTAAAACTTTTTATATAGAAAACTGTTAAGTATGTCTTTGTCTTTACCTGGGCACTGTATGTAATTTTTGAGTGAGTTACTCTATTCTGTTGATGAGAAATCCATATGCTAATGTAGGTCTTGGCATAATAGGAATATTGATTACCTATATCCAGCTATATATTTAAGTAAATTCTTAATGTTAGAGGACTAAGCACATAAAATCTTGTTGCTTGTCAGTCAGCATAACATCACCCAGTCATGTTGGATGTAATACGATATTTTTCGTGTATTCTTTATGTTGCTATATTAAGGTCAAAATAGAAACAAAGCAACTTGATAGGAATTAGAGTAGCAGAAATTGTGGTCAAAATTAACACGAAATGCAGTTGGTATTCAGATTCAATGAAAGTAAAGCGAAGTGTGTTTTTCCTTTCAGGTGTTTTTGACTTTTTTTAAGTGCTTTAAAAAAAAAAAAAGATTCTGTGTTGAAAGATGGACTGACCTAAAAGCTCTATAAAACCTATACTTTACTGTAAAATTTCAGAGAAGTAGCATTTGGTCCTAATACTTTGAAGCCCTTCATATTTTTCTAAGTTGAAATTTTTTAGTTTTCATTGTTTTAAACAAGATTATTTACGTATTTGAAAGAGTAATAAAGAGGGGGAGAAGCAGCAGTCTTTCATCTATCTACCTCCTTACCTGGCTGCAACATCCAGGTGTTTGGGCTAGGCCAAAGCTGGGTTCCAGGAACTGCAGCCTGGTCTTCCATGTGTGTGGCAGGTGCCCAAGTGCCAGGACCATCTGCTTTCCCATGTGTGTTAGCAAGATTTTCCAGAAATAATGGCCATATATTGATTGCTTTTAAAAAAAGATTTTCGTGGAAGATTAAAAAGATCTTATCATAATAGAACTAATTCTGGGTAAAATTTAAAGGAAGTGAACATTCAAACCAACAGTTACTAAAAATGAATTTGTACAGTACTAGAAATGATTTGACTGCTTTGGGAAATTGAAGAATTACATAGGCTCAGTGGGCTTTTTTTTCATAGTGTTTTGTGGACAATGTACAATGGAAATAAGGCTAATTGAAGTGTTTGTATTAATAATAAGCTCTTTGTGTAAAAAATGGTGGAGTTGAAACATTCATTGGGGCTGGCACTCTTGTGTAACAGAATGCAGCACTGGTAATTCTTTCAAAGGCCTCAATCAACTTAATTGACTTTATTTTTGTATTAAAAATAATGACATGTTTGTTTTAGCGCTGTTCATAGTTTGTTGATACTATTGACTCTTGTTTTAGACCTTGAAGTTGTAACTGGCATCCCAGCTGAAGTACCACACATCAGGGAAAGTGTGATGAGAGAAGGACGCCATCTGTGCTTCCAGTTAGTAGGTCCATCCGGAACAGCCATCTCAACTCTCAGTTACATCAACAGGACAAACCAACTCGCTGTAGGTTTTTCTGATGGCTATTTGGCACTTTGGAATATGAAAAGCATGAAAAGAGAGTAAGTATAAGTTTTTCATAATTGATTACTGGCAGATTTTTAAAAATATAGCTAAGTTGTGAATATTTGAAAATTGCACAGTAAGGAAGTGGGATGCTGAATTGGTATAATCTTTCACTGCATTAAATTATAATTTGATTTGCAAATAAATGACCAAGAACATGAATTGTTTTTAATGCTTGTGTAAAAGGAATTGCCAATTGTGCTGCACCAGTTGCTACCGAAGTATTGATTATATTAAATAAAGATAAATTGTTCTTCCAGATGTATTTTTCTCATGTGTATAATAGCAGTTAATAGCATTAGGCAGAAAAGTGGTTTTTAAAAATCAAAGTTATATATTTTAAAATTTCTATTTTGACAATAGTCCCCCAAATATAATCACATTGAAGCTTTTAGTCTGTGGTTAAAATTGCCTATAATGTTGAAAGAAGTAGCAAGTAGGCATTAATTACTGTTAAAGACTTAAGTAAATGTCTAATTGCTTTTCAGTTGTCAGTTTGTTTGTCCTTTTTTTCTAATCCCTTAAGGGGTGTTGCTATATTTTGTTGAATAATTTATCTTTTAGAAAGTTGATCTCAATTTTTTTGCTGTTAATCTTTTAGCAGCTCTTGTCTTAGATTTTCCTTTAAAGGATTACTGCTTTTACAACAGCATTTCTCTAACAATATCATCTCTTGGGTAATATGTTTTTTTAATTTTCTAATTAGTCTTCAGTTCTGTTTTAGTAGTGATGACATTGACTAACCCTAAGCAGCTGAGATGGAGTGTTGTAGCAGTGTTTTATCTTTGTTGGGTACTGTTTTGTTTTGCTTTTAAGATTTATTTATTGATTGATTTGAAAGAGTCACAGAGAAAGGGAGAGACCCCAAGATCTCTCATCTACTAGCTCACTCCCCAGGCGGCCACAGCTGTCAGGGTTGACCAGGCTATGTCCAGGAGCCTGGGGTTTATTTTACTGAGTTTAGTACAACGTTGTACATGGATATGATTTTTTTTTTAAGAACAATTTTTTTAAAGGTTTACTTACTTTTATTGGAAAGTCAGATTTACAGAGAGAAGGACAGATAGAAAGGTCTTCCACCTGCTGTTTCACTCCCCAAGTGGCCGCAACAGCCAGAGCTGAACCCATCTGAAGCTAGGAGCCTGGAGCTGCTTCTGGGTCTCCCATGCAGATACAGGGACCCAAAGTTTTGGGTTGTCCTCGACTGCTTTCCCAAGTCACAAGCAGGGAGGTGGAAGGCAAATGGAGCAGCCAGGATACAAACAGGCATCTATATGGGATCCTGGAGCTTGCAAGGCGAAGACTTTAGCCACTAGGATACCATGCCAGGCCCTAAGAACGAAATTTTAAGAGCTGAACCTATGTGTACTTTAGCAGCTCTTCCCAATTCTATGTGGGTGCATAGATGTCTTGATCTATGTATATTCCTGATGTCTTGATCTATGTATATTCTTGAAGATAAGTATGTGCTGCATTAATTTTTCATGTTTTAGATATTATACACAATTGGAAGGTGGCAGAGTTCCTGTATATGCTGTTACTTTTCAAGAACCTGAAAATGATCCTCGTAATTGCTGTTACTTGTGGGCTGTTCAATCTACACAAGATAGGTGAGTGTGGTATATGTGGTTTTAAAAGCTCAATGATCAGTAGAGGCATAACAAGATGAGGGAAAAGCAGGAGCAGGGAGTACAGATTACACTATTCCTTAAGGCCTTCCTGTATTTGCTGCTGTGATCCTGTTTCTATCCTGGGGACCAGAGTTTGACCACAGGGACACTACCTAGCTACAAAGGAAGCTGGAAAATACAGTAGATGTATCTGTTTATATCTGAGGTATGCTTGTCAAAGAATGAATATCTGAAAAAGAGCATTGAGTCTGCCACATAATGTAACACCTAGTGTGTACAGTCAGCATCACCTTAACTTTGTAAGATGTTTCCGAGAACTTCATTTTTGTGAAAAACCAAATAAAAAAATTCTTCTCAATGTTAGTTTTGTCCTGTGCACTCAACATTGCATGCAAGCCAAGTTAATTTGGAAAGTAAGAGGTGTTTATAATGTGTTACTCTGTTGTCTAGTGTGTGTCTTAATTTCTTTTTCAGTGAAGGGGATGTTCTGAGTTTGCATCTGCTTCAGCTGGCCTTTGGTGATAGAAAGTGTTTGGCATCTGGACAAATCTTATATGAGGTAAATTGGAATATAGGTGTGTTTACTTTATTTGAAAGGCAACAGAGATTTCCCATCCACTGGTGCATCTGTAACAGCTAGAGCTGGGACAGGCTGAAGCCTGGGGTCTGTGACTCATCTGGATCAGCACAAGGAAGCCAGCTATCGAGGCCATTAACTGTTGCCTTTCCATGTGCATTAGCAGGAAACTGGGTTGTAAGTGGAGACGGTCCTCAACTGGTCCTCAATCCCAGGCACTCCAGAGTGAGGCTTGAGCATCCCAAGTAGGGGCATGACACCCTGCACCACAGTGTCGACCCAAGTGTATGAGTCTATATTAACGATTTAGTTAATGTGCCACTGTTTTAAGTATATTGTCCTTAAGACAGGAAAAGTTACTGCTACATTCAAGTTAATACTATATATATAATACAGTGTTTTATCAAGGTAGCTCCCCTAACCTCGCTGTCATTTTCTTCTAAAATAGAGGAGATTAGACTGACTATTCAAGCTTGTGGCCTAACTGGCATCCAGGAAAAGTAACCCCTCTTTGTTGCTTTAATACAACAAGCAGTAGGCCTGTTTACCAAGACCACCTGCTTCTCTGAATTCCTGAGAAATAATAAGATATTGCTGATAGCCATATTTTGTCAACCCCATACATTATCCTGTTGACGCTTTTTTACTCTTAGTGTTTGAGGATGAGTTTCAGGGACTGCATATAGAACAATATGATTCTTAAAGTAACGGATGAGCAAAAATGTTTAGTAACAAAACAAGAATTTCAGTGAGAACACAGGTACAGATTTTTTAACAGAGTGTATGTATGCATATATAATTTTGACGATTATTCCAGCTTGTATTCCTAACTAGCAAAACATATTTTACATTAATTTTAGAATATTGACTAGTAATTATTTGTTTATAATATAAAAAATTTTAGTCTTTATTTTCATGGTTTATTTCTTCAATTAGTATTTGTATAGTATGTGAGATCTTTAAATATGGAGAATTTCTCATTTTAGAATACTTTGAATACTAAGATTGTATATATTTTATGTTACAGGGTTTGGAGTACTGTGAAGAGCGATACACACTGGATCTCACAGGTGGCATGTTTCCTTTGAGAGGACAGACTAGTAATACCAAATTATTAGGGTGCCAGAGTATAGAGAAGTATAGATCTCATGGAGACAGAGAAGAAGCCATGAATGAAGGTTGGTTACTTGTCCTGTAATTGTGTCTTATGAAGGCTTGGTTTTGGATTTATAATAATTAGAGAATTACTTCAGTTACTCTTTGGTGTTAATATTCCTGACAGAGTACTAATTATAAAACTTACATCTATATGAAATATTAGGCGTTTCTTGCTCTCTGGGTTGTTATATAGAACTCACTGAATAAATTTGGAAAATGAAGGATCCTTGTATTTTAATCCATTCCTCAGGACATACATAGAAAGATAGTCTCTATTTTTTCCTAATGTGAAGTTTCTAGATGTTTCCCTCTGTTTAATGGGGATAGGAACTGCTACCTGTCAAATATGCCACATGGCTGCCATGATGTTTTTTATTGCATGGTTTTTCAAATCTAGCATTGGTTCAAATGTAGCTTTTTTGCTTATTGGAATCTTTGACAGATTACTTAACATTTCCCAGCCCTGATCCCACATCTGTGTCATCCTTTTGTATTGGGTTCTTGTGAGGATTAGTTGAGATGTTGGAGTTCTGAGACTGCTCAGCAGGGCCACGATTGCATTTGTTTTTGTTGGGGTTCATTCTCCAGATGAGCCCATCTATCCCAGAGATGCCCTCTGCTTTAGTTCCCACATCTGTATATGTGAGACAGTTTTCAAATTCATTTAAAACATGACACAGCAACTTGCCACTCTCCCTATTCTCACCTTTTTCTATTTCTCATTAGCAGTCCAAGTAGTCTTTATTTCCCTTCACAAGATAACAAGGGTAATTTCTTTTCAATCCCTGTTGCTGTGAAAAATTAAGCCTTAACAACTGAAGTCATTGAATCAACTTCTTTGGCATTCATTATATACCATCCTTAGAAGAATATTCATTCAAATCAATTTCTGCTTTCTAATCCCGTTCCTTCAAAGTTGCCTAGTTGTTTACTGGAAATGAGCCAGTAATAAGTAACTTTTAAAATGGTGTTAAAATAGAGAGTCAAGATACTGGCAAATACATGTCTTTAGGCAAACCAAATGAAATGTGAATTAAATTTCTAATTCATGAGGAAATCTTGTTACTATTGGGATGATTTAACTTTGCAACTACATTCCTTTTCTGTTTCAGTTGTGTCTCCAGACACTAGTGTTTCAGTTTTTACCTGGCAAGTGAATATATATGGACAGGGAAAGCCTTCTGTTTATTTGGGACTTTTTGACATAAATCGTTGGTATCATGCACAGATGCCTGACTCATTAAGGTATGTATGCTTTTCTCTTTCTGTCTTCCCTCTCTTTTTCACGTATAGCTGATGAGTGTGACTTACTAGTTTATGAAATTTTCTTGTAGATCTGGAGAATATCTGCATAATTGCTCTTACTTTGCTCTGTGGTCTCTGGATTCTGTTGTAAGTAGGACTTCACCACATCACATCTTGGATATATTAGTACATGAGAGAAGTTTAAGTCGAGGAGTTCCTCCTTCATATCCACCTCCTGAGCAGTTTTTTAACCCAAGTGCTTATAATTTTGGTATGTATTTTCTTAACATTACCTGTTGTGAAAAATAACATAGAAGAGTATATATGTGTGTGTAGGAGGGTAGTTTATACACAATGTGAGATCTGTTTGTATCTCCGCCTGTAAATATATGGATAACTTAGGAAGTAAATGTGATATGTATAGTGAGAAGTAATTGTATTATAAAGAGATGATTACTGTTAAATATGCATTTGGTGTACTTGTAATAAGCATTTTAAGATTGCCTAGCCATCTAGTTTTAGGATATATTTTGTTGTCTAAAAGCTATTTAAATATGTACATACATATATATATATATTAAGTGTACTTTTTGTAATCTTTACTTTCTTTCTAGATGCCACTTGTTTGTTAAACTCAGGAGTTATTCATATTACTTGCACTGGCTTTCAAAAGGAGGTTAGTAACAGCTTGTGGAATAGACTTTCTTACTCAAAGTCAGATCTTGGAATATGCTTGATTCAAGGATTTAGACTTCAATATTAAGTATATGAACCATTGTTTGAACTTAAATGTTAGTCTCGCTTAGTTTGATGAAATTTATATTATTTAGCAATGACAGTTTGCCAAGTAACACATTGGGACGTTTTTAATAGCTTTATGTGGATGCTAGCTGCATAAACTAAAAAGGAGTATGTCAGTGCTCACCCATTCTTTTATTATTATTATTATTATTATTTTAATTAATTTATTTGAAAGGTAGAATGACAGAGATGTTCTGTGTCTTGGTTTATTCCCCCAGTGGCTTCAACAGCTAGGACTAGGCCAGATCATCTGGGCTTCCCACATGGGTGGCAGGGGCCCAAGCATTTGGACCACCTTCCATTGCTTTCCCAGGTACATCAGCAGGGAGCTGAACTGGTGCTCTGACATAGGATCATAGGTCTACTTTAACTTGCTGTGCTGGAATCCCTCTTAGTTCTCTTTAGAAAGCTTATTAGGAAATGAAATAATACAAAGAAAGTACACCTAGCATAGTAGCACAAAGCCTAGCACAGGAAAAAAAAAAGTTCAATATATTGAAAAATGTTTTTCAGGGAAATATGATCTGACAGACCTTTTAATTTTCCAAATTTGAATGATTGTTGTGTTTATACTGGTACCAATTTTTTTGCATTACACAAAGAGACTGTGTGTGTGAGAGAGAAATTCATTAAGATCTGTCTCCAGATCTTTCAGTTTTAGAGACTACAACAGAATTACCTTTCATGGAAAATTACATATGCTTACATAAAATACTCATGGTAGTGTTATCATTCATAACTAGGAAGCATTGGTTTCACTCAAGAATTTGTGAACACTTTCTCATGCAAGGCAGTATATATGGAGTGGCTAATCTATTCATCTTAAATTTGGTGAATTGTGTTTTAAATATTGTCTTACTCATTTATCCACTACAGACTGTGACGTTTTTAAAAAGATCGGGACCATGTCTCGATGAAGTCATTCCTGATGGTTACAACCGATGTCTTGTTGCTGGCCTTCTCTCACCAAGACTGATTGATATTCAGCCTTCCAGTTTAAGTCAAGTGAGATAATTTTTAATTCTGTTGCTTCTTTTCTATTCGATGATGTGTTACTAGTTTTCTATTATAGTAACAATTAGATAATTTCTTTTTATTTTTACTTAGATACTTTCTGTAAAAGAAGGTGAAGTAGCTTCCACACCTACTGTGTATCTTGTTTTTAACTTAAAATGATATTGTAAGATTTAAGAGGCAATAATTTGGCATCAGGTTCACATAGTTTGTGTAAAAGGATATAGGCTGGGAATTATAATTGCATTGGGCATGTCTTGCATATGAGTCCCTATTGTGGGATTGGGTTAATTTTTAAAAGAATTGCATAATTGGAAGATAATAAGACCACATGAGCAGAAAGCATCTTGGCTTTGCTTATGGTCTTGGTGAAGTTCATGGTCTATAGTGTGGCCTGGGAACTTGTTAGAAATGCAGATTCCTGGTTTTTATCCTAGAGCTATTAAATCAGAAACTCCAGGAAGAAGGTCCAATGATCTGTTTAGAATTTGTTTTTTGTTATTTAAGAGAATGTAGCATTTTACATCTCAACTAGTAATGCATGAGTATTCCTTTTTTTCAAAGCCAGTGCTTGTCATTTGTTTTTGATTGTAGCCACCCTAGCATCATAATGATTTTTTGGTAGCCTTTAAAATTTTGTATTCTGAGCTCTAACTTCCTGCTTTTGATCTGATATTGGTTCTCTTTTTATCTTCTAATGCGTGGTTCAGGAAGAACAGTTAGAAGCTATATTGTCAGCAGCAATTCAGACAAGCTCTTTGGGGCTTTTGACTGGTTGTATCAAAAGGTGGATAACAGAAGGTAAGAATCTGTTCAAAATGTTAATTTGTTCAAAATCATCAGTTCTTTGTTGATATTTTAGCTACACTTTGAGATTATTGTAAAATCCTGTACAGTTGTAAGACTTCATGGAGGTGTTATGTCACATTTTCCTGCCAGTAATAGTCTGGCAGCCTGCAGTACAATATCGTAACTGCGATCTCTCATGTTGCCTTTTTAAATCTTAGCCTAACTTGTCCTTTTCATCCCTAACCCCTGGCAGCCACTCATCTGTGTCCTGTGATTTTGCCACTTCATGTTCACGAATTTAATCATACAGTAATGTGACCCTTTAGAATTGACTTTACAGTCAGTGAAGTTCACAGTGGGTTCAGCCACGTTGTTGAGTATATTACTACACACTGTTCACACATACATTTAACATACATTATTTTTTTGTTTGAACTGCTTGAGAGTAAAATTGTGTATTTCAGTGTTATTCACTTCTAAACAGACATTTTTGTGAATGATTGTCAAAATGGTTAACATTAGTACTGGTTGGTTGGCATCATACCGTTGTCCAACAATGTCTCTTAGTAATTTTTTGGAGAGGGTCTGGAATTATGCTTAGTATTTGTATCTTTTTTAACCTCTTGTCATAATTTCTATACCCTTTTTGAAGAAATTGACATTTAAAGAATTTAGATCTGTTACTTTGTAGTGTGCCTTTCAGTCTGTGCTTATGTCTTCTAGAGATTACATTCAAACTTTTTGTTTTGTGTTTGGGGTGGGTCCTTTCTGACAGTAGTATAGTCTAAAGTGATATATTTTTTGATGTGATGTGCTGGTTAAATATAACCTTAAAAAGCAAGAACATTCCCCATTTATATTGATCTTCACTTTGTTCATTTGATCAGAGTGCTACCAGTTGTTTTTTTTTTTTTACTACAAGGGTCCCTATGTTCTGTTTGTAATTATTGGTTCTTTTTTTTTTTCCTTTTATCAATAAGAACAACCAAATTCTGCTGCTAATTTGCGCTTTGTTCTTGAATGGACATGGAATAAAATGGTTCTCACAAAAGAGGAGTTTGACCGTCTATGTAAGTTATTAAGTCTGTATGTGCTTCCTTTAGCAAAATACAGGTTAAAATTAAACAATGTAGAGATTTACATGGCCTCTTGATAGATATGCCCACTACCATCTTGAATCATTATTTATTTTATGTTATAGTGTACCCCATAAATATGTATGGTAATTACTGTCACTTAAAAGTAAAAGTGTGTGAGGAAGTTTAGAGACTTATGATAGAATACAGCAGTTAAAAAGCTAATTTATAAATAATTTGTAATTATTTTGAAGTTAACTTTTATAATTTAAACATTCCCAAAGAAAACTAGTTTTTTTGTACATTACAATAATAATTGTAATTTTTTTTACCAAGCTTTTGTGACAGATCACTAAATTGACAGCATGTAGAAATGCCACCATAGCATGTTTAAAAGTCAAACTTGATCTTTTGATTTTTAGAGTTTAAGTAGAAAATATGCTGATTGTGATGTAGAAAGGGAAATATGCCAGTTAACTTCAGAATACCCTCTACTTATTCACTTTCTATTTAAAATATTTGTGGATATGAAGAAGCTGAGTGGCAGGGCAAAAGCATCATGCTGTCCTCTAACAGGTGTCATTGTGCCAAGTCATTGTTCTTCACATTTGTGTTTATCCGTTTAGTATTTGGGCAAATAGTGCAAAAATACTTTTTTTTTTTTTTTTTTTTGCACTAAGGTACCAATTAGAGAAAAGTAGGGATAAGTGAAAGTAAAATTTTTATGTTTTTATGATTTGTGTGTTTTGGTTATTGTGTCATGAATGAAAAACTGAAGTTTTGAGAATAGACTTGACTAAATAGGTTTTTACAGGTTAAACACATTTTGAAACAAAATTTGATAGGAAGACTTTATGGTTTCATACTATTTTTAAGCGATACTTAAGAAAATATAAGCATAAAATAAAGTATTTCTAGGACTGACATTGAGACACAATAAATTAAACTGCCACTTGTAATGTTAACATCCCATGTTGGAACGCCTGTTTGAGTGCTGGCTACTGTGCTTCACATCCAGCTTCTGTAAGTGTAACTTCATAAAATTGAAGTCTGAAATATGGAATCATGGTAATTCAGTACCAATAAAAATTGTTTTTAGAAGTTATGATTATGTTTGGTAAAAACTAGAAAATTATATACCTCAACTGAGTATGATGTTCTGAATACAAAGTTGTTTTTTTGTTTTTGTTTTTGTTTTTTTTGTTAAGTTGAATTTGGTAATGAAAACTTTGCTGTCTTTTTTACTGGTTAATAGAAATGATTGGATTGATAAAAGGCAATTAAAATGCTGAGCACAATTGCTTTAGTAAATTTGGGGTATTGAAAAATAAAATGTGATTGAAAGAGGGATTTTGAGAAATTGATATTTGTTTCTCGGAATAGTTATACATTCAATTTCAATGCAATTAAATTGCCTTTCTAAATCAGTATCTTCTGATAGTATATATAAAGAATTAAGCAACATTCTAGGCCTGTATTATCTGAGACCAGATTCTTCCTCTTGAAACCACCTTTTTAGTTACCTGAGAATATTTACCATTTCTTGCATGTCTCTGTAAATCTCTTAGAATAATTCTGATTTTTATTTAATTTTTAACTGAAAAGCAGTTAGAGAAGAGGGGAATCTTCCATCAAAAACTGGTTCACTCTCCAAATTGCTGCAGTGGTCCAAGCTGGGCTGGTCCAAAACCAAGAGTCAGGGGCTTCCAGGTCTCCCACGCTGGTGCAGGGTCCCAAAGTTTTGGCCATCCTCTGCTACCCTCCCAGGCCACAAACAGGGAGCTGGATGGGAAGTAGGGTCTGCCAGGACTCATAAACTGTCACTCTGGTACTGGATGTGGAATCTTGCAAGCAGAAGCTTAGTCTGCCGCATCCCAACTTTGGCCCTGCATTTATAGTTCTATCCCATTTGCATTTATTGCTTGTAAACTAATCTCCTGTTTTGTCTTTGAAAGGTGCACCATTGTTTGATGGTTCATGTCGCTTTATCGATCCACAAACTATGCAGGCTTTGCAGCAGTGTAATTTGCTTCTGAGCAACCTCAATACAGTCTTAAGCTGCTTTGCAACAGAGGCTCAAGATATCACTGAGAGAGGTGTGTCCTTTTAAGTTTTATTTTTTGAGTTAAACAGAGTGAAATTCCTGTATATTAGATAGATTATTGTGTTTGAAGACATATTTCTCAAATGCTAGACTTTTTTTTTAATGCAGAGCTACTGAATGTTGTAAGATGTACTTAAAATTTGGTAAAATTTTAGAATTTAATCAATATTGGTTTAAATGTGTTCAGTATAGTTTTTAAAATTAATTATGTGTTTGTTTAATGAATTGTTCTTTTTGTTTTGTTTTGTTTAAAGGCTTGGCCTGAAAACATTAGACTTGTTAGTATGAGGTGTTTGCTTTGTTTAGCCAGCTCCTTATTAATTTTAGTATTTTGGAGGTTTTGTTTGACGTAGCTTTGAACCAAATAGGTAGAGGGTAGATCAGTTCAAAATATGTGTATTGTTAAAACATCAAATAACTAGTTTTCACAAATTGTTAAACAGCTTGAGTTCTTTGTGATTGACAGATTGAAAGTTAATGTCTGATGTTAATTCTTTTTATAGGTTTGATAGACTTAAGCAATAAATATATAGTTGCCCAGCTTATCTGTCAGTATGCACAGATGGTCCTGTGGTTCTCCCATTCCGGACTTTTACCAGAAGGCTTAGGTAAAATATTTAATCTATGAATAATACCTGAAATATTTTTCAATCTTTATAGGTTTTTTTCTTCAGGTTTATTTGCTTCCACCTTATTTTATGCATTCTTTCCTTGCATTCTTTCTCATTTTAGAAATGAGGACAGTGTTTCACCTCCATCCCTGATAATGCAGGTGTTCTATAAACGTGTATTGCATTGAATCACATTTAAAAGGCGAAAGCACGAAAAACATGTCTTGTAAAAATAGTTTCATTAAAATTGGCAGCAATAATTGAAATCTGTGGAACAGTGGTTCCTATTGCCTTGTGTGTTGATCTTTTGCAATTTAGGGATCTTTTAATGTGTTTACTAATAATTTTTTATCATCAGTTAGATGCTCCCTTTTGAGTAATACTGTCTGATGCCAAGAATGAAAAAAATGCATCACTGTTGACTGTACAGTTTTTGCTTTAGAATGTACTTCTGAAAACTCGCCTTCCACATTTCCAAAATGCACTTTAGGTTTTATTTAGAAGTGCCCCTGTGCTGCATGTAAATAGTCCTTAATCTTACTCTTCCATAATTTTTTGAGATTTATATTTGAACAGTCTGCATTATTTACTTTACGATAATTGTTTGTGCCTAAAGAGAAAAATTATTTAGAACAGTTTCCAGGATTTCAAACTTACATCTTTGTTGGAGACTTGTTTCCTCTGACTTTTTAAATTTTCTTTTACATCTGTAATGAAAGAGCTGTAGTATTTTTTTTTTTCAATTATTCAGCCAGTCTGCAGGTTAAACAACATTAAAAGAGTATAGTAAAAATATCAATGTATATACAAAAGTTGTTGAGATAATTTGGAAACATTACTAGCTTTTTTTCCAATTCTTAAAAAAAAATCTAGATGATGCTGTGCAATTGTCAAGGTTATGCTACAACTACCCCGTAATTCAGAACTACTACACCAATCGTCGACAGAACTGTGAGCGTTTGTCAAGGTATAGTACATCCTAATCATCAGTACATCTTAGAAATGATTCCCATCACTAAGCACATTTTCTTAGAACAGAATTTATCATGTTACAAATAGATTTAAGTGTGGAGAACTCTCCAAAACGTATCAGATTCATTAATAGCATTTTTGTTTTACTTATATTGCTTTTTATAACCTTAATGGTTACACCTTTATTTTAGAATTTGAGTATAGCTAATAGTTGTTTTTCTGAATAAGAACCAGTTATTTAACATTCTGGTTTTTTATTTGTTTGTTTATTTGTTTGTTTTACTGAATACATGTTGGTTGTTTTGCAATAAAGGAGTAAAAGTAATAAAGATCAAGTAAGGCTTGGCCCTGTCTCTAAAGTTAGCCTTCCTCACATTAGATGACAAAATTAAAGAATAAACAATTCAAATTTTCTTCGTTAAGAATCTTTGGGGAATCAGTACTTAAATGGCTGTGCATAGCTTTAATTCTGATGCATGGCCAGTTTGGAGACTCGGTGCTTCATGATAACTAATACAGGATTGTGAACATGAACTTTAGAGATTGATTGAATGTGTTTTGAAATGCTAGATCTATTATTTTGTAAATGCTATGTCCTCAGATTTGCTTATACGTTTTTTTATATTATTTGTCATATAAGTAATAAAGTCAGTGTAAGAATTACATGAAATGGCAGGTATTTGGCTTTGTGGAAAAAGTGCTGAATGTCACATCTCATATTGGAGTAAAGTACCTGGGCTTGATTCCTTGCTGTGTATCACAGTTCTAGTTCCCTGCCAGTGTAGACCCTGGGAGACAGCAAGTCGTGATTCAAGTAATTGGGTCTCTGCTAGCAAACTGGTAGACTTGATTGGAATCCTTGCTTCAAGCTCAACCTCTTGGCCACTGCAGGCATTTGTGGAGTAAGCTAGGACAATCCAGTACAGTGTCTTACAGAGAGAGAGGGAAAGACAGGTCTTCCATCTTCTGGTTCACTCCACAGATGGTCTTAACTGCTGGAGCTAAGTCAATCAAAACCAGGGTCCAGGAGCTTCTTCCTGGTCTTCACATTGGTGCAAGGCCCAAGGATTTAGGCCGTCCTCTGTTGCTTTCCTAGGCCTTAGTTAGATTGGAAACAGAGCTGCAAAGACTCAAACTGTACCTATACAGGATTCTGGTGTTCAGGTGGAGGATTATTGAGCTATGCCACTGCACTGTCTACAGGTTTTATTCTTTTTTGATTTAGAGAACTCTCCCATCCTGTGATTTGCTCCCCAAATGCATGCAAAACTAGACCAAGCTGTACCTAAGAGCTCAATACAGGTCTCCTGTGTGGTTGGCATGTAACCAAGTTTTTTAAAAATAGAAAAAACCTTACATAAGATGTACTTGGGCATCTAGTATCAAACTCCAGAAAAGCTCAATAGGTAGTAGATACTGTTGCTTTAATAAATAGTATTAGTTGAGGAAATAGATATTAGATGAAATATCTGCTTATTACATTGTGTGTTCTCAGTAATGTATTTGATAATGCAGTCTGTAACTTTTTGAAATTTGAACTACGAAATTATGAACCATCATATTCCTTAGAAGTAGAATAGTCTCTGGGATTTGTCTGTAGTACTCCAGATGCTAAATGATGTCCATTTTTAACTCAGTTCTCTTTAGTAGGTGGGATTATGGCTTTTTTAAGAGTTGATGCTTCTTGTTTTGATGAGTCATTGGTATTAAATAATCCTTAGTGTTTCCTTTATTGCAGAGGGAAGTGGAACCACGATTGCTTGATGATTGATGGATTGGTTTCTCAGTTAGGAGATGGAATTGAGAAGTTATGGAGACGAGAGGAAGGAGGCACAGGAAGATACCCTCCTGCTAGTATACATGTATGTTTGTCATCCTGTGAGGTTGAGGGAGGGTGGAGACATGTTTCACTGTTTTTCACAACTTGCTGAGGCTTAGCAAATCACGGCCCTGATGCGTAACTGTGTGAAACTCAGGAAGTTTTAAATTTTTCCTTTCACAGGCACTACTTGACATATACTTGTTAGACAATGTTACTGAAGCGAACAAGCATTTTATTGTATCCTTTAAAATTTTACTAAATATTTTTGTGTTACCAAACTTAAAATTTAAGAGCAATAGGTATGTTGCATGCCTGACCTAAGCTCAGTTTTGTTTGAAATATCTTTAAAGAAGTATTCTTTACCTAGGATCTAGGGGTTCATATTGCCTATGTTAAACATAAAACTATGAAAAATTTTGTTTTATGTTTAGTTTATGCTTAGATTTTCTAGGGATATGTTCCTTAGTTTTTATTTCTTAAATGTGTCACACTCAAAGAATGACTGCTTTAGAAATATAACCTCAAGGATGTTGGGTGATTCAAATGAATGGATTATAATTAAATTACTTTATAGGTTAAATGTCTTTAGGCATTGCCTCAGCTTTGTAGTTATTATTTTTTTTTCTTCCTTTTAATTTTTATGTATTTATTTTATTGGAAAGGCAGAGTTACAGAGGGAGAGAGAGCTACCATCTCTGCTGGTTTACTCCCAAAACAGCTGGAATGGCCAGGGCTATGCCAAGAGCCATCTCACATTGGGTAATTGTTGCCCAGTGGCTTGGGCTGTCTTTCTGCTGCTTTCTTAGGCCTTTAGCAGGGAGTCAGAGCAGAGAGCAGCAGCCAGCACTGGAACTGGCGTGCACAGGGATGCCAGTATTGCAGGTATTAGGTTATCTCACTGTGCCACAGCACTAGACTTTGTAGTTTCTTTAGCTAAAAATGTACAATTCCTTTCCAGTTTAGGAACTGTATGATGTGTTTGCTTAAGCTACCAGCTTTTGTCAAATAACTGAAATTTTGTCATTAACTTTGTTATTTGAATTTCCCAAGTTACAGACTTCACAAAATCAATATACATTTTGCGGTGGTAGTAGTAAAATAATAGGAAAGCAAATTTTAACAGAATTTTCTTATAATTTTCAAATTGTCTTTTAATGATATTCTAGTATTACCTATTTTAAATAGATATATGGCTGTCTTTATTATCCTTAATATTTTAAAGACCATCTATTTGCTGCTTGATATTATGTATTCCTCTCCAAACAAAATGGACACTTCCATTGAGTCCTTTCCTACTGCCTTCGCCATTTCTTGGGGCCAGGTTAAACTTATTCAAGGATTCTGGCTGATAGATCATAGTGACTATGAGGTAAGTGTATTTATTCACTTAGAATGTAAACCTTTGTTAATGCTAGAAAATCTATGTCCCTATTTTATGTAAAAGATACCTGAAAGGAGATCTGATTTACTCAAAGTGTGCCTTCATTAAGCACAGTCTTACTAGATTAAAAAGGAAAAAACAGTTTAGAACTCCAGGATTCTTATTGTCTGTAGAAAGTAAACAATTCTGAAAATTTCAGATGCAGTGATTGTTGGGTTAGAAATATGTTTAGGATATTGTGTGAACCCTGAAAGCATTGATACATGGTTTGGTATATGGGATAGACAATGGAAAGTTTTGTTGTTGGTTTTTTTTTTTTTTTTTAGGCATCAAAGATATGAGGATATTGTGAAGCATTCTTTAAAATTTGCTGTAGATTGAAATACCTCTTTTCATCTTATTTAAATTGGTTTATCTTAATTTTTGTGAGCTTTAGTATTTTTAAAGGATAGCAACTATGTCTAAATGCAGCTTATAATTTAGCATTTCATGTAAATTTCAGGGTGGTTTGGACCTTTTGTTTCATCCAACTACTTCAAAGCCAGAGTCATGGCAACATGCAAAGGTTATTGAAGCCTTTATGAGTCAGGGTGAACACAGACAAGCCCTCAGATACATTCAGACAATGAAGCCAGCGGTGTCCAGGGGGAGTGATGTTACCCTTCATCTCACTGTATTGCTTTTCAATAGGTAAGCATATACTCTGAAAATTAAAACTCATACATGTTAAAGAAAATGGAATTAATGAGGTAGATAGCATTCTATATAGTATTTGTTTGATTGCATTACATAATTACACTTTATCTTTCAACAATGCCTTTTATCTGCAGTAAGATGAGTAAGAAGTACCTCGAATAAAGGTGGTAATCAAATTGGAATTTCCAGTTCTATCAGTTTCTAATTGACAGCATCTTCAGCATGAATAATTGAGGGTTGTTCACTGTCTAATTGTAATCATCCTCTATAAAGTTGGTTTATTTTTATCATGATTTTCCAGTGCCTACCTACCTCATGTAGGGCTACATAAAAGTTTGTTTCAATACTATCTTCTAGAGAAATCTTTATGACTGGTATACATGTAGATATTCCTTGTAGTAGGATTATTGGGTCACAACTTATATATAATGTTAATTTTTGTGGTTACACCCAAGTCTCAGCCTCCAAGACAGTCTTTACCAGGGGTTTTGAATTGAATACCTACAGAATCCCCACCTGATTGTGAGACAGTCCTATGTAAGAAACGCTGTTTAATGAATTTATTTCTGCCTCAGTACTTTCCTCTGGGGGGTGGGGAGGAGTCTAAAACCTTAAATTTGACTACAACTCTCTAATTAGATCTTGCTGTAAATCAGCTGGAGTGTTTTAATTAAGCTGGATTCTGAACCTGTAAATAAAATATTTTTCTCATCTATTTGCAGTTACTCATTCTCTTTTTTTTCTTTTCAGTCCTATGCCTTCTGCTACACCACACCCATCTTTCACTTCTGTTTAGGCCACACTTAACGTTGTATTATTCTGTTATGTAGCATTTTAATAAAAACAGTACAAAAATAACTTTAAATTTTATTCATATGAGGTACAGTTAGTATTCAAGAGATTTTGGAGATAATTTTTAAATTGTAACCGAAAAACAACAAGTTTCTGTAGATAGGTGACTTGCTTTGAATGTGTAAATAGATTTTCTAAAACTAAACTTTGATGATTTCAGATGCATGGTTGAAGCTTGGAATTTATTGCGACAGCATTCTAATAGGTTGAATGTAGAGGAGTTATTAAAGCACACATATGAAATCTGTCAGGAGATGGGCTTAATGGAGGATTTACTGAAGTTACCATTTACAGACACAGAACAGGTAATCACTTATTAATATAATCTTACCAGGAATTCATGACGAATCGATGGGTTACAAATGGATTTTGTTCTTCCTAGGACTGTTTGGTGAAATTTTTGCAGACCAGTGCCAGTGTTCAGAATCGAGAATTTCTTTTAGTCCACCATTTGCAGCGCGCCAATTATATCCCTGCCTTGAAACTGAACCAAACTTTGAAGGTTAATCTTATGGTATGATTCAAGTTTTCATAATATGGAACAAAGAATAAGGAAAACTGGAGAATTTTGGTTTGTTGTAAGAATTTGCAGTTTGGTAACATATGAGTTACATTATCTTCAACTTGGAGAATCCTTTTCTTATCTTCACAGTGTTGCTAGATTACCAGCTCCCTTAGGGAAAATTAGAGAAAGCAATAGAGGGCAGAAATATGAAATATTATTTTGTAAGTTTAATTAGTTTTGTATGTACATAGAGCATTGAGCTGAAAAGATCAGACTCCTTGGTTAGTTCCGTGTTCTTGGACACAGATTCTGTCGTTCGTCACCTCATGTGTAAAATGGTAATAGCTCCTTGAGGTGGTTATGATGATGGAATACCACTCTTATGTGGAGTAAAATATTGTCTGACACATTGATGTTTGATAAATGGCAGTTATTCTTTGCATTACTTGTGAAGAATTGGATACTTGTTAGTAATTTGGATTTAGCAATTAGGTATGTGTGTGAAATCCTTGTTTTGCAAAATGTAGGCAGGTGAAAGATACTCCTAATTAGATTTTAAGTGTGGAATATGTAACCGTTATGTTCTGTGCAATAGAACGACCGTGATCCTCATTTGCGAGAGAGATCAGTGGCTCGAAATGCTATATTAGACCAGTATGGGAAGGTTCTTCCTAGAGTCCAGCGAAAATTAGCCACTGAGAGAGCTAAGCCTTATCATCTGTCAAGATCATCAGTGCTTCGAGAAGGTATGATGTTTTGAAAAATGTTGGGACCTTTTGGCCTAGAAAAGGTTGTGGAATCCATCATTAGACAGAGTTTCTGAGAGGAGACAGTGGTTGGAGCTGAGCCAGTCTGGAGCCAAGAGCCAAGCTATGCTTGACTGTATTTTCAATCATTATTTAGTGAAAATCCTATGATAGGCAGTTAACCTAGTGGTTAAGACTTTGGTTAAGATGCTTGCATTCCCACATTCTACTGGAATTCAGTTCCTAGCTCTAACCCCAGCTTCCTGCTAATGTAGACCCTAGTAGTCAACACAGAAATTCTTTCCTGACTCTTGCCTGGCCCAGCCTCCACAGCCATTTGGGAAATGAGCCAGCTGATAGAAACTTTCTGAACTAGACATTTGTTTTTGAAATATTTATTTACTTATGTATTTATTTGTTTGTTTATTTTACTGGAAAGTCAGATCTACAGAGAGAAAGGTCTGCCATCCACCAGTTCACTCCCCTCGTGGCTGTAATGTCCAGCCAGAGCTGAGCCAATCCAAAGCCAAGAGCCAGGAGCTTCTGAGTCTCCCACGTGGGCTCAGGGTCCCAAGTCTTTGGGCTGTCCTTGACTGCTTTCTCGGTCACAAGCAGGGAGCTAGAAGGGAAGTGGAGCAGCCAGGACCCAAAAGGTGCCCATATGGGATCCCAGAATGTGCAAGGCAAGGACTAAAGCCACTAGGCTGCTGCACTGGACTTCAAATAGACTTTTTAAAAAATATCTTAAAAAAAAAAAGATATAACTAAATCCAATATTCTTTTCAGTTTCTAGACCCAAACCATTATCAACAATTCCAAAACAAGCTATGTCAGGAACGGTATTAACAAGATCTGCTTTCATCAACAATGTGTTGTCTAAAATTGGAGAAGTTTGGACCAGCAGTGAGCCTAAAAACAGCATCTTAACCTGCATTAGGTATGTTCTTTGTAGCCCTTTAACAGCCATGCTGTTAACCTCTCCTGGGCATCATCAACATTTACCAACAATCTACCCTTGTTGCCACAGGATTTCTTAGAATGTGTGAAAATCTCAAAGTAATTTTTTATTTTGGTTATTTTTTCACAGAAAGATTTTATTTTAAATAGAAAAGTGCTACATTTGCTTTTTGCAAGTGCTTCATGTGATACATATGAAAAGTTAAAAATGTTCATTTCCTTTGTAGTCCTAAAATAGAAGAACCAGCTCCCATAGCATATTCTCTGCCAGATCTGGAACTCCCGGAGGCATTTGTTAGAACACCTATTTCAAAAACATCACAAAAGGTTTCTCGGTAAGAAATTCTTAAGACACAGTGCTGTTAGATGATTATCAGTTTTTAATGATCTTTGAATATGGAAGTTTGAATAGTTCAATGGTTTGCTAAGTTTTTTTTGTTCAGTATAACTCAATAAGGAAGCTAACCAGAAGTTTTCTAATGTTATATGTATTCTGATTACAGATTGCTGGATCTGGTTGTTCATCCTGTTCCACAACCTTCTCAATGTTTGGGTCTGATTCAGCACAGCCCTCCCAAATCACCTTTGTACCTGCCATCTAGTGTATTGCCTTTAAGATCAGAATTGAAGGGATCACATCAGAATACCGCCAGGGCTTCTGAATTCTGCATACTTGAAACTCCTCTTATAGTTAAGGTTAGTATTATATAATACAACAGTCAGCAAAAGCTGTATAGTTTTTGAGTAGTAAGAAAAATAGGCGACCTCTTTAATCAATAGCCTTAAGCATTTTTTTTCATTATCTTAGTCCTTTGCTGATTCATGAAGTCTTAACAGTTAATTGCTTCTGTTTCTCTTTTCTTGGTTAGCCTTTTCTTTTTTTCCCCTACATTTTATAGTAAATCATTAGGTAGACCAATGTTAACAAGCTTCCGTGTCACAAAAAACTTGTGATGCCTGTTAGCAATGATTTTTTACCATACCACTTTTTATAAATCTTTTTTTAAAGATTTTTATTTTTATTACAAAGTCAGATATATAGAGAGGAGGCAAGAGAGAGGGGAAGATCTTTCGTCTGATGATTCACTCCTCTTGTGACTGCAACAGCCAGTGCTGCGCCAATCTGAAACCAGGAACCTTCCGGGTCTCTCACATGGGTGCAGCGTCCCAAAGCTTTGGGCCGTCCTCGACTGCTTTCCCAGGCTACAAGCAGGGAGCTGGATGGGAAGTGGAGCTGCCGGGATTAAAACCGGCACGCATATGGGATCCCGGCACGTTCAAGGCAAGAACTTTAGCCACTAGGCCATGGTGCCGGGCCCTACCATGCCACTTTTAAATGTTTTTATATGTTATTCATTAGTTCCTTGTCCAGGGTTTTGCTTTGAATTCCAAAAACTTGTGGCTTCTTTGTTGATGAGATCCAGCATTTATAGTGAAACACGTAAATTCTTGCTTTCCACAGTGAATTAAAAACGTTAGTACATGCTACTCCTGACAAGTTAAAAGCAAGTTATAGATTATGTTTCATTAAACTTAATATCCAGGACAGTATTTCTAACTTTTTTTTCATCTGTTGAAGAAAAATCCGATTTGGTATTTTCAGCAACTAAGTTCAGATGTAGTAAAACTGGGGAATAACTTTTTGCATGATACCAATAGCTAGAACAATTATATAATCTTGTAAGGTAGCTAACCAAGTGCAGTAATCTTGTGGTATTTTTAAAAACCTATTTTCTAGGCTTTTAGAGAGCAATTGAAATTAAGTTCTGAATAATTTTCATGGTAACATCAAGTTATTTTCTAATATGCTTTCAGGGGATAAAATCAAGTTATTGAATTCTTGGAAATTTTTTTGTAAAACCTTGAAGTTTGTCTCAGCAGTTTAGGTTAGCTTTCCATAATTTAGGTTCTGTTTATCACATGCAATTTCCTTGTTTACCTCACTAAAAACGTATAAGTTTATTAAAGAATTTATCTTAGCAACTGGCACTTCTTTTAATTGAATTTAAATTGAAAAAAAAACATGACTTTTAGAAAAGTGGTGGATGCAACATTAGGTTTGGTTTGGTTTTGAAGACTTACTTATTATAAAAGGCAAAGTAGCAGAGGTCTCCTGTCTACTGGCTTATCCCTGAATGGCCACAGGAGCTAGTCCTGGGCCAGGCCAAAGCAAGCAGCTGAGAAATGCATGGTGTGCATCTAGTGAGTAGCAGCAGTCCAATGCTCGGGTCATTATCAGCTGCTTTGCAGACTATCTTGCTTGGAAGAACATAGCTTCAGGATATGACCTAGACATCCTGATAAGGGCTGCGGTGTCTTAAGTTTAACCTGCTGCAGCATAATGCTAACCCTTGCAGTTTTAATTTTGTAACTACATGAAAAAGCTGTGGCAGAATTTTGTGTATTTTAGGTAATCTGAAATAAAATTTTCTGGTCACATTTTTTTGCAGATGAGAACACCATCACTATTGTGATTGATTTGGCCCTGTCTGTCTCTGTGTACCTTTTGTAATTACTAATGGTAGAATTACATTTATTTTTTGTTTCAGAAAGCCAAAACTTTGGCCATGTCAGTTACCTCGTCTGGATTTTCCGAGTTTACGCCTCAGTCTATCCTAAGGTCTGGTCTTCGAACAACACCGTTGGTGTCTCCTTCTCTATCAACAGGGCGGTCTCTTACTCCTCCTCTACGATTTAAAGAAACCAGAATTTCATTTATGGAAGAAGGCATGCATGCAAAAGGTGCTACTGGGGTAAGTTTGATAGTACTTAGTAGAATATGTTAAGAATATATTCATTCTTAGAAGGAAAAAGTGAGATAACATTATACAAATTTTCATGTGCATTCTTAGGAATGGTCACAAAACCAGAAAACATCAGTTTTATTACCAGTTCAAGGGCACTGGTCCCTCATGTACAAGAATAAGGCTTCTTGCTACCAAATAAACTGCCCATGGTTAAGTCAGTATTTTCTAGCAGAAATGGGACTTAAATGAAACCACCTCATTTTCAGTCTTTTGTTTTTTATCTTGTGTTGAAATTTCTTCTCCCCCCACAGTTTTTTACACTGCCTTAAGTTCCCAGTTAGAGGGTGTTATTTTCAGAGCACCATTCTAGATTGATAAAAACCCACTTGGTGATTGCTGATTGACCTGTTCCAACATTTTAGTTTTCTGAAATTAGGAGAACATTAATAACTTTTAGTTCTGTATCTCAATGAATTTGAAGCAAGTGATTTTTGTTGAGTAGATGATTTAGCGGCCTACACAGCATGGAAAGAATGGATGTGTTTGGAGTGAATAACTTAGAACCAGACCAAACCGATGTTTACTTTTTTTTTTTAATCTTTTTTTTCTCACATAGGCTGCAGAGGACAGCAAAATACATGTCACAGCATCTTTCCATAAGTGTGGACTTGAAGGAGAAGCTGATTGGCTGAAAGACAAAGATAAAACCATGTCATTTCCTTTGAATAGCCCTGAAAATGACCATCAAATAACACATGTGAGGTCACAGGATACATCCTCACAAAGATTGGAGAAACTGGATATGAGCAAAGAAACCAGTCCTGCCTCAACCAGATCAGATCAGACTATCTTAGATTATCAGGATGCACCATCACCACAAGAATTGGAGGATGTTATTTTTATGGACTGTAAATCAGCAAATACTTCTACTGAGCAAATTACAAACTTAACAGAACAAACTGAGAAAGATGATAGTCCTCTAGACCTTGAGAAACAAATGGGTAAGAATTTATTACCAAGCATTCAAAATTGCCATTGATGTCTTAGGATTTTTTTACCACAAGAAAAATTCTAGGTTAAATATTAAATTCTCACAACATACTAAGTTGTGATGAGATACTATAGTTGAGGCCAGAACATAGGGATGAGAAAAGACTTTGTTTGGAATTGGTAGAATAAAAGATTAAGCTTTTTGTTTCTTACCCCATACATACGTAGTTTATTTATAAGGAATTCCTTACTTTAACTGTGTATAACCAACAGAGTAATAACTATCATACGTAACTTCTTTGGGGAAATATTTGTTGCCTAATTGAATTAGATTCCTTAAGAATTATTTCAGTGAGATTTGGACTATGGTATCTTTAGTAAGTAAACACAAGCATTAATTGCTCATGTCCAGAGAATCTTTTTTGTTGTTGTTGTATAAGGGACAGACTTAATACTCACCTTACTGTCCATATGCCCACAACAGCCAGGGCTGCAGACTCCATCCAGGTCTCCTTTGCAGGTTGCAGGGATGCTTCAGCTTGAGCCTTCCACTGTTGCTTACTAGTGTTTGCTTTAGTGAAAGCTGGAATGAGGAGCCAGGCCCAGGCCTTGAGCTCAGCTAGTACAGGCCTGGCCATTGTGGGCATTTGGGACATGAACCAGCAGAGGTGGGAATTCTGTCTCTGCCTCTGAAATAAATTTAAAAAGTAAGCTATAATCCAAGATCATTAGTAACTGCTATTTAGCATAAATTAATGTTTTGTATGATTTATTGGCATTTTAGAAGTTGAAGAGGAAGCATTTACAGATTCAAATCGTTTAAGCCCCATTCAAGGAGCTGATTCTCACTGTACACCATCCATCCATGAAGGGTAAGCTTACAGAGAAAAATACAAATATGTTTTTGGAGAAATGCAATGCAAGTGCAGTAGTAGTAAAATATGCTTGTGCAGATTTTTGACATCTCCATTTCAGTAACATTTTCTATTTTGGAAGTTCATTGGTGTAGTTGTGTGTTGCTTAGTGGTTACAGTGAAATCTGTGACACGTTTCCAAATTAAAACCTCTTATTTTTTTTGGCAGACCAAAAGATAAGACTTACAGCATGTGTTTCTTCATTGCCTCCTCTTTGCAGTGGTCTCAGGATAATCAGTCCCAGGACTTGTGGATGACCAGTAGTTTTGATTTTTGCTGACTGAATAATACATTTTGTTCACAGAAAATCTGTTGTACTAAGTGTTATAAAACAGTGCTATTTAAAGTGTGATCTCTAGCAAGCAGGTATAGTTTTTAGTTTGTGATTTCCAAGGAGCTTGCATTAGAATATAACCCTGCACTGCTTCTATTATTGAACAGTCAGCTAATAAATCAGTGTGTTTAGTGGACTGATTATTCTTTTAAATAAATGTACCGCTATTTATATACCTACTTTTTAAAAAATGAACTTTATAGGATTATTTGTCTTGTTACTAAAAATAGCACGCTTTTATTCTGTTTTGAGAAAAGTCTAGCTTTAGGGCCACTGTCAGTGTGTTCCACAACTTAAATTTTATCTCATGGGTTAAGATAGGTTCCAGCAATCTCATAATTTTCTAAAAGCATTAAAATATTTAAGCTGGTTGCCCTGAGTACATAAGAATGTTCCTTAGTGGTTGGTAGACTTATTTTAATGACTACATATTGTTAAAAATGGCTTACCACTAACAAGCATTTAAAAATCATTTGTACCTTAAAGCCATGCTATTCTTACGCAAAATAAAATCTTAAACAAGCACAGCATTTTGTTTTTCACTTGTAAGTTTTGCAATCTCATTTTAAATAAGTTGGAATAATACTGATTTCTCTTGAACTTCAGTTTTTATTAGCAAAATGGCAAGTGACGAGCAGTTGGGTTAAAGCAAGTAGCACATGTGGGTTTTTCCACACTAAAATACATGTTTCTATTTCTAAAGGAAAATTCTTTCCCTGAAATCCAAGATGCCAGTTTTGGAGGAAGGAATGTTATCTGATGAAACCCACCTCTCTACAGCTATATCAGATAACAATAAATGTATGTATTCTTTTGATTGTTTTGATTGAATTATTTCATTTCAGTGTTTTGACGTGGTATTTTTTTGTTTGCTGTTTTTCTTTACCCAGAACAAAAGAATCTACTGTCCATATTTTCTTAATTTTTCCCCACTGTATCTGAACATCTTTTTAGATATTCTTCTTAGAACATGGATATCAACTACTTGTAAGATTCTATGTGGTGCTAATAGAAGTCTTAATATGTCTACAAAAAAATTCTTTTTGCTTTGAATGTGAACAAGGAAGTATATTAGCTCTTGATAGCCAGAATTCATATTTTTGGTTTTGTGAGACTCATATCCTCACAAGGCAATGACTATTTCTATTCTGTGATAGTCATAACTTAAGGACAAAATGGACTTTATCATTAGAAAAAAATCATAAATGTATTCCTGGAAATATAACAATACATGGAATTTAGTGGTTTTTAACAATTTTTTGTTTGAGCAGAGGGCGCTCATCCACTGGCTCACCCTCAGATGCCCACAGTGTCCCAGGCTAGCCTCAGGGTGAGACTGGGAATTCAGGTCAGGTTCTCTGCCAATTACCGGAACTAACACTGTTGCCAGGAATTTAGAGCCATAGCTGGGAGTTGAACTCACATACTCTGGTGGGATATGGGCCTCAGCCGCTAAGCTAAATGAATATATCTAAAGAACATTGTTTTTTTCCTGTGCATATGATCTGCACCTGTTGAAAGAAGATACAGCAAAACTGGTTACATGCATTAGTTTGTAGTATATTAAAATTTTCAGTAGAAGTAATAACCATTTCATAGAGTTGATAAGGTATGGATAATTAATTAGCTGTAAACATTTCCACTGGTCATTTTGTTTGCTAGTTCATTTCTGCAACAACATGTATTTGGACATTGTAACATTGAACTTGGTAGGCCAAGTATTTGTAGATTTTTTAAAAATGCTTTCTCTAATAAAGGTCAATTACTATTTCCATGGTAGAAGGGAAAAATTCCAATTTCTCTGCTAAATTGAAAGGGATAATAGTACTTCGCATATGAGGGACAAGAGCCCCATTGTTTATACTAGGAAAAGTATTACACAGTATTTTTTTTTTTTCTAAACCTTTAGTTTTTGTTAAATACAAAGTGAAGCAGTTGAGTTAAAAATAAAAAATCCATTAGTATTTTCAAGTGTTAGTCTGTCATATTTGAGTTTTGCATCATTCATAGCTTCTAAACTCAAATATGACCTATATTTGCTAATGACAGAACTTAGAGAGGAAAGGAGAAATTTTTCTCACTGCTAAGTCTAGAAATGATGGTGCTTTTTGTACCGCATTTAGATGCTTTCTGCAAAAGTGACCTATCCATCCTTTTTCATAGTCTGATCAAAGCTCACATTGCATGTCCCTCATATAATTCTATAATGGCTTAAGAGTGGCTGGTTTTCTAGTAGTCACCTGATGGATATACTGTGAGTTTAACAAGAAATAAATGAATGAGCCTCTTCAAAGCAAACATCAGCATATAAAAAATTTCACAGTTGGGCAGAAATCGTGTTCTAATGGGGAAAAATTACTGGCATCATTTTAAAATGTTAAGTTCATTTTCTGTGTTTTATCTTTGTGGATAGTAAATACGTGTTGTTTAATCTGAATAATAGAATACTTCACTTGATCTTAGCCAAAAGACCGTGAAGACTGAAGCAAAACACTGAATACTGAAGAAAAGAGATTAATATATAAATACTCTAAAACTTTCCATTTTAAGATGTTAACATGCTTTCTTGCAGTATAATAGTGCATTAAGATACCATGGAGCCTAATTCTGATTTTCCTTTCAGCTTTGGCTGATGGCCTTGGTGATTCCAGAACCTCTGAAAGCCTTGGTATTTCTGAACATGGACATGACCAGGAAATTGCATTGAACTTAAAAGATCATGAGATAGAAGTCAATGTGCTAAAAGAAGGTGTTAACTTACCAGAAGAGAAGCCTCCGGTGTCTGACAGTCCTCCTGATACTCAAGGAATTCATGTAAAAAATTTTAATTTTTGCTTTGCCTTTTGGTTTGACTTAGATAAGTTTCAAAACATGAAACAATCTAGACCTAATAATATAGTAATATTTCCAAAAGTTTGGGAATGATAAAAAGTTAGTCATCTATTTTGAAATTTTTTTGTAGGAAAATACTTTTATTTCATTCTTCCACATTGTGGGGTTTTTGAAGGTAACTTCTATTACCAGACTACTGTATAAAAACCTCTTAAAAGTCTACTTCAAAAAACAAGTATATAAAATTTTTTAAATAGAAAAAAGTACTTTAAGAAATTGGTTTTCAAGAAAACCAAAGGCTGTATTAAAGCAGCCATGCTTTTATTTATTTTGGCTTTGTATTGAACTAAAAGTTTCAATGTCAGATCTGTCTGCAGTAGCTAAGCTATCCAGAGTATAAAAACGGGATTTTTCTCAATGTATACTTGTCAGAAAGTGATATTTATGTGGGTGATGCTGACCTTCTATATAGTTTAGAAAAGACTTCACGAATTTTAAAATGGAAAACTCAATTATTTCTAGAAATCTAAGTATATAGAAATTGTGAAGGTTGTTAACTCATAAAAGTTATCACATTATCCATATTCATTCTTGTGAATTTTCTCACTGTAAAGTCCCAGTTCTTTGGTTGGGTACTCGACAAACATGAGCATGCATAAGGGGAAATCCTCGTTTCTGGGTTTTGTTTTGTTTTTCCCAATCTGTCATTTCATTGAATGTTTGGGGAGTGGGAAAATGTCTGTCTAGATGGGTGGCAATGTTCTACCTTCTGGGTCAGGAGATCTCTGTTACTGTCTGCCTCCTCCTTTTTCTCCCCTTCCCTTACCAAAAGGTAAATGCAAGGAGCATTCCTTCCTCCACCAAACCCTTGCAGGAGAGGTACTGAACTTGAAAGCCTTGGGAATTTCATGGTTTATGCAGCCCCAGCAAAGGGAAGAGCATTGAGTCTAGCCCAAGGGAGCTTATGTAGGTGAATTGTTCTTCAACCTTACGGGGATCATACTGTTTAGAAAAGTGTGACATGTTAGGTAATTTGGGGATTTTCATTAAAACATTTGGGGGTGTTTGTCTTTTCTTTCCTTTTCTTTTTTATGGGTGAGAAAATAAGTACTTTAATTCTCACACCTTTTAGCATCCAAGGTTTTGTTTAAAAAGTCTAGCTAGAAATGTGAAATTTCTGCTTTATTCCAGTTATAATCTCAAAATCTGTTTCTAATTATTCTGAGTTTGAGAAAGTAAACTCATAAGTGTTTGCCATATCAAAGGTAGTTTTTTTTTTTTTTTAATGTGCACACCCAGAGTAGGATACTCCTTAAAAAACTGCGTGTGTTAGATTCAAATATAGAATAAAATTCTTCAACCAGTCTCTTTAATTCATTTTAGGTAATTGAACATGAAAAGCTTGAAGCTCAGGATTCAGAAGCAGTTAAAAATCTTTCATTCAATGAGTTGTATCCCTCAGGAACTCTTAAGCTTCAATATAATTTTGATAGCATTGAGCAACAATTTTGTGACTTAGCTGATAATAAAGACACTGCTGAATGTGACATTGCCGAAGTAGACGGAGAGCTTTTTGTGGCTCAGAGCAACTTCACTTTGATACTGGAAGGTGAAGAAGGAGAGACTGAAATGGGCGACTCTGCAGCAGCTAACATGTTACCTAAAGTAGCTAGCGCTGTGACCGACAGAAAACTTGCATGCAGTGCCGAAAATGGTGATCATGGACGTGCTGTGAACTTATCAGCTATCATAACAAGTGATCAAGAGTCCCAAAAGGAAGAGACATTGCCATATGTGCCTGAACCAATTAAAGTAGCAATCGCAGAAAACTTACTAGATGTGATTAAAGACACAAGAAGTAAAGAAATGACTTCAGACACAATAGAACGGTCAGTGGATGAGAACATACCTTTAATAAGCCAAAAGATAATGTCTTCCACCAAGTTAAGAAAATCTGCGGTTAAGACCATTCAGGAAACAATTACGACAACCATCAAGGTCAGCGAGACCGACGACACGATTTCCTCTAGAACCCGAGCAAGAGGACAGCATTTACAAAACCCGAGTGTCAGCTCAGCACAAAAGGAAGAGTCTTCTAAGCTGCTGGGACTCTCTGTTAAAAAAAGAACAAGGAAAACACGGATCCCTTCTGAGGCATCAGAGAGTTCCTTTTCTGATACCAAGGAAATAACTGAAAATCAAAACCAAAATATACCTCAAAGTCCTGTTGCCTCTAGGAGAGGAAAGAGAACAAAGGAACTGAATAAAGACACCTTGATGGACCAGGAATTGCAAGTTACACCAGCCAGGGAATTAAGGAGGTTAAAGTCATCTCAGCTGCTGGAACCAGCCCCTGAAGAAACTGCTAAGGAAGTTAAGCTTTCCTCTTCATCTGTTACAAAAAAGACTCCTAAAAGGAGAAAAACTTCTGCAGAAAATCAGGAAAGTGTTGAAACTGTAAATAACATGAAAGCGAGTAAAGCAGCAACTCCTAGCAGAAGTATCAGAAAATCCAAACGTGCCAATTCAGAAGCTTTGGAAGATACAGAGTTGAAGCAAAATGCACTATCCTATGACCCGGATCATAGGAGAAGGGGCAAAGAGAGAGATGCTAGTACACTGGATGTGACAGAAAGCTTGAAACTTGATTCATCCAAGCTGACTCTTCAGGCAGGATGTGATATACCTGACACACCTAGGAAACGTGGTAGGCCAAGAAAAGTCAATCTATCCGAAGACGTAGCATCTAAGGCTGCTAAGGAAGAAAGCCCCACAAAGAGAAAAGTCGTTAGCATCCAAAGGAGATCTACAAGGAACACCCCGGCGAGAAGTGAAAGGACTGATGTTGCAAAACCAGAAGAGCCCATTTCAGTGCCACACGAGGAGCTCACTATTGTGATGAGCTCTGAGAAAAAGCTCGCCAGAAAGACTGAAAACCAAAGCCGAAAGCGTCCATTATGTGCCATATCTGAAGATCAAAAGTCAAATGACCAAGAGGGGTTGCTTGCGACAGCGGCTTTTACTAAATCCTCCCGTATCACAAGGACAAGGTCTAGCAAGGCCACCTTGTTGTCAGACCTTTCTGAACCACACAGTGAATCTTTTCTATTTTCTCCTCCTGCTTCAAAAGTTCCAAGAAAAATGAAAGGTACTTTTAATTTTTATCTATACCACTCTAAGTTGGCTAAGAATATTATTTTGATTTAAAGCATTATTTGTTCTGTACCTGACTTGTAGTTACAAAGCTTGAAATTCAAAAAGTTTGATTCATTGTGTCATTTTAAATTCCTTTATAACATTAAAATTATGAGGCGAAACAGCTTCAGTGGCGGGGGTGGGGGTGGGGTATGCTTTAAAAGTTCCTGAAAGGGAGATAGTAAAAGATTCATTCTGGTGTGATTGACAGGTCCCTTTGCAAAATAATTCTATATAAAGTTGAAAGGGATGGCTAGGTAAACGAAACACTATTACCAGGAATACTCCTCCCCCTCTTTCCAGCTGTCCCTCACACACTGTTGATTAGACTTTTCCCACACTTTGTATGGCAGAGTTTGAAGACACTGAGGGTGAGATTTCAGCTAAATTTACTAAGCTACTAAACAAGGGATACTTCAGAAAAGTCAGTGGAAATGAAGTTAAACAGTAGGCTTATTTGGGTGCAGAAATTTTTAAACCCATAACATTCAACATTTGATTTACCCAAATGATGTTGGGATTTTTCCTGTCATTTTGGTCTCCAAAAACAAGCCAGTTAGGATACCAGTGTTTTCCAGGTTTCAGGATCGTTTGTTCCAAATGTCACCTTAGTTGAAACAAGGATAGCATATCTGTAGAGATAGAAAAAGATAAATGCTTTCTGTTTCAATTTCAGCTAAACAAGTAGAAACTCCTGCACAGCTGAAAGAATTAGTGTCAGATTTGACTTCTCAGTTTGTTATTTCACCTCCTGCTTTGAGGACCAGACAAAAAAATACATCAACTGTGTCCACGGTTGTAGATGAATTGGTAAGGAATATGTGATTTGTGGGTGTTTTTTTTTAATTGGTTTTAATTTTTAAAGTAAATATTAAATATTTTACATAAGTCTCTAAAACATTGTCTTGCCTCTGCGTCTTTGGAAACGTTACCTTGAAGACAGATCTCTAGTATGTCAGTGATACACTACCAGTTCTTGTAGTGCCACAGAATTATTTGAATGGGTTTGTTCAAGATGGGGACCTGCATATCCCCCGAGTGTCATGCACAGAGCACAGTTGGAGATCACATTTCAGAGTGTTGGTTTTGTCACCTAATTGTACATGATCCTAAAATGAAGATAATTCAGGGACTGTGTGTCCCTAATACATAATTCCTAGGCTTGTATGAAAGAGTCCGCCGTAAGTCAGTTCCTATGCAGTGGCGAAGGCTGACACAAAAATATTTTAAGCAACTCCCTTACTTTTCGGGGTTCACAGTTTGAATCTAATACATAGTCTAATTGCAAGACAAAAGCAGTTATTCCAAAAGATGATAGGTGTCATTTACAGAAGAAGGTAGAAGGTAGTGGGTACAGATGTTCCCTGTGAGGCACGGAGTCAAAGCTTATCTCGATGTCAGTGGTGGGAGGTAGGGGATGTTCATGAACTAGCAGATAGCCATGTGCATATATTTGGAATGCTATCTGTGACAGAGATGAGTTCTGGGGAGGAACACAGAGACTGGGAGACTTCCAGTGGCTCTGTTCTTACAAGAGGATGTCACAGTCTGGATTTGAACAGAGATAATGGGAACATAAAAGAAGTGGACAGTGGTAGCACTGAAAAATAAAACTTGACAGGACTGTGGAATGAGTTGGAACTGTGGGAATGAGGAATAAATAGCAGTCCTAGAGGACTGATATTTTACTTTAAATTGTAAGAGGTAAATTTTGCATCTCTTGAGTTTGGATTCATTACTAGGGTTGTATGCCTTGACTCGGTATAGAGCTTTTAAATTTGGATTTCTAATATCTAATTACTTACCTTTGCAAAATCTTTAACTCATAGGAAGATGATGCTAAGGCAGGAGAAACTGTGAGAAAACAAAAAGTGAGAAGAGTCAGGAATGCAGAAACAAGACAAGCAAGCAGGTATGACTTTTCTGAAATTTTTCTGCATTTGCTACTCAAAATTAGATTGGCGAAGTCTTGATTTTGAAAGAGAAATTAGGCTCACTGGGAAAGGACAGTTCTCAGGGGACATTTACAGTACTTATAGTTCGCTTTCACGCCTGAAGTGAGATGGTTTCTCTACCTAGCATGAAAACCTACTCATCCTTTTTTAGAGAAAGGTGACTGGCTGTGATAACTTATACCCAGTTTCTCTATTTTCTGCAGTATGTGCAGTAGGAGAGGGAATGATTAGCCTTCTCATTAGTTAAATAAATTAGTAGCAAAGAATCATGACCTTAGAAATCCTGGTGTTACTTTGCTAGTAGCAGTTAAACTGCATCCACAGGAAAATTACTCCATTTCAGAAATACTTATACATTTTCTCCATGCTGTTCTTAGGCATGGTTGAATTTAATAAAAGACACACATGCGAAAATAAAAGTTCTAACTTGTACTAAGAGACAGACTAGCTGATTCATTTCTCTGATCACCCAAGATAGGGCTGAGTTGGAGCCACAGCTGGGAAGTCAATACAGACCTCGCACATGTGGCAGGAAATATTAAAGCCATCACCCCGTCACTCTGGATCCGTAAGAACAGGAAGGTGGAATCAGGAGCTGAAAGAGGGTACCAAACCCAGGGAGTGAGTGCAGGCATCGTAACCACAAGGCCAGAAACCCATCCCCACCTTAGCATGCCTCAAAATTGATTTAATCACACTGACACCATTTTCATTGGGAAAACTACTTCATATTTGTGAAATTACATAACTGCTGGTGTTTGAGAATTGTTATTTTTGATAGCTTCCAAGGACCTGCTTAGCTCTCATACTGTGATTAGTAGCACTTGACCCATTCCTATCACCTTGCAGTATCTGTTAGTACATTTAGAACATGTAAATTCAACAGTGATTGTTGCTCATTAAATGCTCAGATCACAGAGTGAAAAACTCTGGCCCTGATTAGCTTTTATGACCTAAAACATCATTTCACTCTCTTGTAAAATCAAAGTGCTATGCAAAGTTATCCCTAAAACTTCTTGTTGTAGTGTTAGAAAGCCAAGTATATTTGCTTATTCTTATTTTTCCACCCCTAGAAACACAGATAAAGAAGGTTCTTGGTCACCTCCTCCAGTAGAGATCAAGCTGATTTCTCCACTAGCAAGCCCAGTTGATGGAGGAAAGAGCAAGCAAAGAAAAGCCACAGAGATGACAGGAAAAGCTCTTGGAAAGAACCGAAAGAAACTGTCTTCCTTTCCAAAGCAAGTTCTACGCAGAAAAATGCTCTAATTTTTCTTTCAAGTTTTTAATGTACACCTATTTGTAAAAAGATCACAATTGTGTGGATTATTAAAAATCATCTAATTTGGAAGAAAATAATTTATATAAATTATTGTAAATTTTTGTAAACAGAATTCTTCAGTAGTAAAATAACTCCCTATGGAGTATGATTCTTAATCCAGGCAATTTTTCTATTTTATATTAAGACTTCGTACATTTATATAATATGTAAATATGGCTATTGGAATGTTAAATAAAGCATCTACTACTTCACAGTAGTTTGTGTCTTAGATTTTTGAGAGGGGATTTATTTGTCTTAATGATTTTATATGCTAGTAGGCATTGATCCAATTTCTTTAGTTAATAGATCTTAGAATGAGGATCATACTGGTTATTTTAGAGTTGCTATTTTATAATTTATGCACTTTGATTCTGTAAGATTTCTAATTATAAAGTGTATTTTGTTTTTGGCTGTCACTATGTTGAAATTGTGGGCATGTGACTTTGCCACTTTTTTGTACTTTGACAAATTTTGTGTAATCTACCTCAGATGAATAATTTTCCCAGTAATGCATTGGTTAACCTATAATGTTCGCATTTCTTGTTCAGCAAGCTTAAAGGCTATTTATCTCTAAAAGGTCTCTTTATTCAGAGACTGATAATCCAGGTTAGTTGACCGGTTCACTGCTCACAAGCAACCTCACAAAAGGGTTTGAGAAGAATGTAAGATCAGTCTGTGCACTTGCTGTGTGCCTAATGTTGATAAGAAAATGCAGGACAGATTTTGTACTGTAGCTTGGTACTGAATCACAGGAATCCCTTAATTTTCAGATATCAAAACTAGCAAATTATCACAGGAACCTCAGGCACGATTTTATTGAGAGTTTGAAATATGAGTTGATGTGGAAAAAGAAATAAAAGCACCCTGCATTTTGCAGTGTGACTGTGCACAATTATGTAATTAGACTCGGAGTAGGCTGTTAAATGCATTAATAAGTAAGTAACGTAAAATAATTTATAACAAGTAATTGATAGTGTGTAATGAGTGGACCATTAGTAATTGATCATCCAAAAATGAACTGCTCTTGTTGGCCAAGCTATTAATGCTTTAGTGTGAAGCACAAGTAAGCTGTGTGCTTTTTTACATTATTTTTCTACCAAGCAACAGTATGAATAAAGAGAAAATGAGGAAGATGCCTATGCCAGGTGCCGACAGTGTGAAAGTAGCAGTGCGCGTGCGACCTTTCAGTCAGGTTAGTGGTAAAGGTTACTTTGCCTTGTTGAAAATATAACTGACTTTGATTTTATCAATTTTTTAATGAGAATTAACAAACTTCTATTTAAGCTGCTTGTCATTTATGAAATATTAAACTTATTTAAATGAAATTGTTAAATGAATTTAAGATCTGAACATTATTAAGTAAACACTTTTGCGCAAGTAGCACAATAAAAAATGGCAAGAGAATCATTGTCAAGTGAATTGTTTTTTAACTAAAGCAATTTGGTGAACATAGTGAATATGGTGCCTATTTTCAAGAAATGTGCTTTTTCTCCTATAAAAGGAATGTCATAATCAAACACTTTCAGTCCTAACTGCTTTTTAAAAAATGCTAAGTGTATTTACGTGGCTTGTTGCTGAAGCACTTTTTCAGTGTATGACTGCAGCATTTTAGGATAGCAGGTAAATTATTCTAAGATCTTAGAGCAGCTGTTCGTCTCAGTTTCTCAGTGCACTGGATAGATTAAGGTAATTCTGAACAACCAACCGATACTTGAAACTGAACAAACAAAACCCTTTGATCTCAGTCTTATGTAAGAAGTTTATTAAATGATCTTGGATTAAGGAAATAACTTCTTATAACAGCAAGATTAATACTAAAGCCATACAGCTTTTACAAAAGCCCAGTAAAATTTGGATAAGGACACACAAGCTCTAACAGCCTGAGAAGGCTGAATTAAATTGACAGCAGCTACTCCCAGACACAATCCTGATGGCTGTATGAGGTCTCTTACCCATCAGCATTACTCTGCACATTTCCAGTTGTTTGTTACAGTTATGAACAAGCCCTGTTGGTAGCCAGGCAGCTAAGTAGGTTCACGTACTTAAGGTACAGCTAGGTAACTGAGGGTAGCAGATGATTGGGCTTCGGAAGTGTATAGTTTCTCCAAAAAATATCAAGGAATGTATCACTAGCAAATTAAATGTTTGGCCCTAAATGAAGCTGTGGAAACAAAACCATTTTATAGTCTTAATCCTGAATTTCAAGAGTTTCTAAGTAATGCATTGGTTCGTTACAATGTTGACCTTTGAGATTCAGCCTTAATTCTCACACTGCTGGACATCGGGTTTTTCAAAAAACAGTCAACAAAAGTGGTTTCGTGCAAGATGCTTAGGGAGTTCCTGAAACTTGTACTTTCTGTTTACAAAAATAGGGGATTTACTTCTGTTGATGACCAAAAAGTGATTAGGTTAGAGTAGCAGCAGTGAAGAAAGGACGGAGATAAACACTCAGGAGAACACAGACATCCCACCTGGGCAACTCTTACCTTGCAACATCCAGCTCGGAACTAGTTTTGAAGACATTTTAGGTACAAGGTTAGGGTGACTTGGATTTAATTTTCTGGCAGCCTATCCAGTCTTTGTGACATTAAAGAACCTGGCCTGTTTCCTTATCTGTAAATGGGACACTGAAACTACACAGGATTCCCGTTGTAAACAATGAAGGAAATGGGCTGCATTGACATCAGCATCCCTTCAGGGGCGCTGGTTCAAATCTGGCTGCTCCATGTCTGCTCCAGGTGCCTGCTAATGGCCTGGGAAAAGCAACAGAAGATGGCCCAAGTCCTTGGGTCCTGGCCACTTACTTGAGGCTGGGATAGAGGCAAGCCTTACCGAAATGTTTAGGGGATAAACTAATGACTGTTTATTGCAACAACGGCCAAGAAATTTTTTAAATAATAGTATCTGACATAGGTCCTCAAGTATCAATTTTTTTAATATAAAATGAGTTGATTCTATGTTTTTCACCTTACAGATTTAGAAGCATAGGGATTCCCCCTCCCTAATGCCAATCTCTTAGCCTCCTGTGCCCTAATGTCTTGATATCTGCCAAATGTTTTCTTACTGATACCATACAGTTTACTAACATCCTCACTATCGAACACGTCACATGCTTGAAGTAGTTTGCCAAAGGAGAATTAGGTTATGATGTTCTGAGTATCCTGCCTTCTTTACGACTGAATTTGTTAACCTATAGTCCTTTATCACATCATTTCAGTGTCTCTCAGGAAATTAGTTTTGCTATTTTTTAATCCTGTGTCAAGTTTTGTGACATTGAAGAAATTTGCCAGTGGTCAGTTAATAAACCTTAAGATTAACTGTTAACAAAGGACAGCAAATTCCTGACTTAATTACTAGGTGTAAAGGCTTGCGAAAACAACTTGAATAACAGAAACCAGTGATTAAGTTTTAATTTGTACTTTGTAGAGAGAGAAGAATTTTGGGAGCAAATGTGTGATTTCCATGCATTCCGGAACCACCACCACTGTTCAGGACCCTAAGAACCCGGAGCACGTGAAGACGTTTACTTTTGACCTGGCGTATTGGTCTCACAGTGGATTCCAAAGGGATAAACACGGTGTCCTTATTTCAGCTGATCCTAGTAGTGAGTTTGCAAGCCAGGTAAACTGAGACAGTTTCAAGGGAAGATTTTTTTTTTGGGGGGGGGGTGACATTTTTGTTTCTGAGATGTTCACAGTCTAACATTTTTTTATGTGAGCATAAACAATTTTCCATTAGAGGTTTTAAATTTGTTTTCATAAACAAGTCGTGAAAAAATGAAGTTGTCAACTCAGTTTAGTTGTCTTGTAATAAAAGTTATTTTGCCGCTGTAAGCAAATAAAACTTAGGAGGCATTAAGCATTCGAGAGCCTAAGTTTTATTTATTATTGCTGTGCACTTTTTTGCCTTAAATTTGTTCATAGCCTGGTTTGCGGGTATAGACACAGAGTATTCAAATCTAACATTATAGAAATATACAATCTATTATAGTCTTGCGTAATGCAGTGGGATAAAAGGAGATATGATCAACTCGGGCAGAGGGTACCTCTTAGGGTGATCTAGTGAAGGCTTTGTGGTTTGGTCAGTTTTGATATGCAGCAGCACTAACGAGTCATGGGGGAACAGAATTTCTTGGCAGCTATAAAACTGTAAATCAAAGAAGCTTATTGAGTTCTAACCCAAATAAACAAAAACCCTGCCAGTCTCATTTTGATTGCATTGCCATAATCTAGTGGTATGGTTGATAAGGGGGGCAGCATGTGGCATGATGGTTAGCCTCTGCCCACAATGCCAGCATTCCTTCACCCTGGCTCTTGTGGCCATTTGTAGAGTGAATTGGGTTACAGATCTTTTCTGTCTCCCTCCTCTAACTTGTAACTTTACCTTTTGAATAAAACCAATCTTTAAGCAGTGGAGCAAGGAACAAGAATGACACTAGATATCTAATTCATCAGGATATATGCATAATTCATTAGAATTATGCAAACAATACAATGTTGAGGACATCTTTCAATGCCAGAAACCTAGAATTTTGTGCCTCAAATGATCTTTAGGTAAACCCTTCTTGTTAGGAGGCTGCCTGCATTCATTTCTCAATATGTAATATCTCTTTAAATAAATCCTAATTTCACTCTTGCTCTTTGATCTGTGCCTCTGAACTTAGAATATATCCAGCTGGGAACCCCTCCCCACAAGATAGAGAGATGAATGAAATGAAAAGACTGGACAGGTCTTGAACAAAAGGTGAGGACTGGAGAGCAGCCCAGGGAGGATGGGGCTCTGCCTCCAGGCCTCGAGGGAAGTTCCCAGGAGGCTGGTTCCCCTAAAGAAGCTCCAGGCTCCTGGCTTCGGACTGGCCAAACTGGTCATTGTGGCCACTTGGGGAGTGAACCAGTGAAAGCAAGTTCTCTCGGTTTCCTGCTTTCTATAATTCTGCCTTTCAAATAAATAGATAAATTCTGAGAGAGAAAGTAGAATAGTGCAGTACAAATAGCAAGACAGGGCCTGGCATGGTGACCTAGCGGCTAAAGTCCTCGCCTTGAACTCACCAGGATCCCATATGGGTGCCGGTTCTAATCCCGGCAGCTCCACTTCCCATCCAGCTCCCTGCGTGTGGCCTGGGAAAGCAGCCGGGACGGCCCAAAGCTTTGGGACCCTGCACCCGCGTGGGAGACCTGGAGGAAGTTCCTGGATCCTGGCTTCGGATCGGCATAGCATCGGCCATTGCGCTCACTTGGGGAGTGAATCATCGGATGGAAGATCTTCCTTTCTGTCTCTCCTCCTCTCTGTATATCTGACTTTCCAATAAATAAATAAATCTTTAAAAAAAAACATAGCAAGACAGTAGAACCCAATGATGTGAAACCCAAATAGATTAAATGTGCTAATTAAGAGCCAAGATGGCAGCATTTTGTAGTGCTAGTACCCATCCCATGTGAACTCTGGCTCAAGGCCCTGGAGCGCCACTTCTATCAGCTCCCTGCTGATGGTCTGGAAAAGCAGCAAGGGATCGAAGTGCTTGAGCCATTGGGACCACATGGGAGACTCAGATGTTGCTCTAGGCTCCTGGTTTGGGCCTGGCCCAGTGATTGCAGCCATTTGGATAAACTCTGCCTGTCATAATATGTCCTTTTTTTTTTTTTTTAAGAAGGCAAAGATTGCCAGAAATCAGGAAAAGTCAGATCAAGCTATATCTGTAAGAAACCTAGGTTAAATGTAAAGACAGAAATACTCAGTGCAGGGCCAGTGCTGTGGTACAGCAGATAATGCCACTACCCACAATTGCAGCATCCCGTGTGGGCTCTGGTTCAGATCCCAACTCCTCTACCTCGTCCAATGGCCTGGGAAAAGCAGTGGGAGATGGCTGAAGTGTTTGGCCCCCTCCCATTTATGTGGGAGACTTGAGTGAAGCTCTTGGCTTTATGCTGGCCCAGCACTGCCCTGGGCCACTGTGTTATCTGGGGAGGGAACCAGCAGATGTAAGTCAATCTCCCTCCGTCCCTCTCTTAACTCCTTCAAATAAATAATTTTTAAAAACTATTTTAAATAACAGAATTGTATATTGAAATACTAAAAAAAAAAAAAAAAAAGCTAGACAGGCTACATTTAAGTCTCATAGACACCAGGATAAGCAACATTTCACAACGATGAAGCAAACAGCTCCTTACGAAGGTATCGGTAGCCTAACTGGGGTAGGTGCTTAACCTTCAAGTACCTGAGGGGTAGACGTTAGCGCAGCAGTTAAGACGTCCTTGGGACCCCCACATCAGGTGCCTGGGTTTGAGTCCTGGCTCTGCTTCCAATTCTAGCTTCCTGCTGCCCATGTGCACCCTGGCAAACCGTTCTGCGTCAAGTTCTTGGGTTCTCACCACTTGTACGCTTAGGCCTGGCCTAGCCCCGACTGT